ATTAAAAAGTAAAAATCTGGCTACAATTATAATTGGCATTTCTTATACATGTGAGATTGAATGTCATTTTAATATGTATGAGCCTTTTGTTTTTCCTTGATATTTTTTGGTCTATTCAGTCATTGTTTTGTTGTGGGAGGTGTTTTTCCAGATGACTCCATCATTTAGTGAATAATCCTCATTTCCCAGTTACATATAATGCCACCTTTAGTTTTACTAAATTCTTGTATATATTTGGGTTTACTTTTGTACCATAGCTCTGCTCAAGAATCAGTACCATACAAAGTGATTATAGCATTGTAATTCTATAAGTTATATAAATGGTATGTTTTAAAATATTTTAGGACTTTTTTTTAAAGATTTATTTATTCTTACAGAACTGGCGTACAAACCAAAGGCGCAAGAGCAGTCATAGGCTTCACCAGAGATGAAGTGGGGAACAGAACAGGCAGATTGACAAAGTACACTGCTGAGGGGTCAGAGGGCAGGTCAGGAGAGGTCTGCCGCACCATGTGGGTCTCCTCCAGGGTGGGGTATGGAACTCGCACTGGGGTGGCTGCAGCCACCTTGCAGTGCTGCATCCTAACCAGTTGAGCAGCCACCAGGAAGGACCTATTTTAGGACTTTTAAATGTTTGTTTATTCTTATTTTTACTTATGTTCTTTAGAATCATAGACAGTTTTTATAATCATTATTGATATTTTAATTGTGCTTGTGTAATTTTCAAAGGTTAATTTCGGGCATAATAAAATCATTGTAATGCGGTCTTTTTTTTGATTTATTTATTTATGCATACAGAGCTGGGGTATAGGCCAGAGGTGTGGGGATGTGTGTGAGAGGATTCACCAGAGAAAGAGTAGGAAGCAGAACAGACTGAAACACACTGCTGAGGGCTGCAGGTGGCAGGTCAGGAGAGGTCTGCCGTGCCATCTGGGTCACCTCCCTCTGGAGGAATCAAACTCATGCTGCAGTGACTTTGGAGAGCTTCATAGTGATGCCCTTTAACCTGTTGTGCTCTAGGGAGGGTCCATTAGTTTGCTTTTTTTGATTTTCCAGGTAATTAGCTCATCATTTCCGAATAATTTCTTTCCACTTTTGTACTTTTAAATTTCTTTCTTGAATAATAACATTGGTCATCTCCTCAGGACCAATATTAAATATTGGTGGTGAAAAATAAAATCCTTTTTTGTTTATAGTGATCAGTATTTCTAGGGTTTCTCCATTTATTCATGAAGCTGGCCTTTGAATTGTTTGTATCTTAAAGAAGCTGGTATGTTTGTTTCAAAATTAAAAATATATATATATTTTACATCATTGTTCATTTTTGTAAAATAGTGACTCAGGTATAGTCACTATTAAAAAAAAATTGAAGACTTTTTATTGAAAAGTTGTCAGTACAGTACAAAAAATTTTTTTCTGACCCTTTTGTGGGCAAGTTTCCTATTAGCCTAAGGACCGCAAGTCAGATACTTGAATGTTTTATTCCCTATAAATAAGTTCTATCTATGTAACCACATATCAAAGTCAGGAACTGAACACATTTCTAGCATACAATCTTCAGGCCATTTTAAGTTTTACCAGTTTTTCAATAATGCCCGTTTATAGCCAATTCCAAAACAGAATCATGCATTGTATTTATTTTCTCACTTCTTTTTAGTCTCTCTCAACCTAAAACAGTGTTTCTTTGACTTTAATGACTTTTTGAAGATTACACAAAAGTTAATGCAAAATCTCTCTCAATTTGAGTTTGCCTGATGTTTCCTTTTCATTGATTACAGGTTAAATATCGTTGGCAGAAATATCACAGGGGTATATCATGATTACCTTCTTTTGTATGCTTTTTTCCAGGAACCTTAATTTTCTTTGAAAGCTTTCTCTGGTTCTTCTGTTTTTATTGAATATTTGCCCAATTCAGTGTGTGAATCGGTTGGAGGATAGAATAAGAAAGCAAAAGTTCTGAGAATCTAAGGAGTTAAGTAGATTAGGGAATGTGTTACAAAAAAGACTTTCTGGACTTATAGACTGAACTTTCAGAATCATCCAGCACAACTATGGCAGTAATGCAAACTACAGGTAGGAAGAAATTGTTAATTGAGTTTATATACTTTTAATCATACTCATTAAATTATCATGTTTATTAAGGGCATTTTGGAGAGAAAGTAGAATTCGGTTTCAAAGACCATTTGGCCAAGCAAGTGGTCTTTCAGTTGACAAAACTCATTTTTTTCAGCTTTCAATTATATATGGTTATTATTTTTATATTAATTAATGATCTCATTGCAAAATATATGATTTCAAAGGGTTTTATGATCACTAGGTATATATACTGTAGATAATTTGATACTGCTTCCTCTATATACAATTGAGTCATTTTAAATTATTTGTAGTTATTTTAATTATATAAATGTAATCCTTTTTAAAAGATTACTTTGTGCATATAGAATTGGGGTATGGGCCAGAGGTGTAGGGGTGGTGAGAGTATTCACTATACACAGTGGGGAGCAGAACAGGTGGATAGATTGAAATACACTGCTGAGGGGAGCAGCGGGCAAGACAGGAGAGGTCTGCTGCGCCATGTGGGTCACCTCTGGGCAGGGGATTGAACTCAAACTGAAGCAGCTGCAGATAACTCACAATGCTGTGTCCTAACCCATTGCGCCACCAGAGAGGGCCAAATATAATCATTTTAATTGCAGTTGTAAATTTGAAGAGCTCCTTGAAATGAGAACAAAAACATAATAGTACCTACATCTTCAAAATTATAAGAAGTTTGCTTAGTTGAATTTCATGTTCATTTTGGTACTGAGTAAGTAGGACTGAGTATCACTAAAATAGAGAAGTAAATTTAATGGCTTACTTGCTTGAATAATCCATGTTTATTTAGGGAGGCAGTAAGGTCTTTATTGAATGTTCATTCTTGTTTCACTTAAATGGAAAGTACTGTGGAAATAAAAATAACATTGTTTTCTGAGTTAATATCATAGAAATAGGGGGAAGACAAGTAGAAAGGTATTATTTTAGTCCTAATGTGTTTTCCATTATACTGGAGAGCAAGTATATATTGATAGACTCTGTTTTACTCTCAACAAGAGTTTTTAGTTTGTTTCATATTAAAGTGTAGATTTTTCTCTTAGTAATTCTTTGGAAGGACAAGGAACCTATGGAGGTCCAATGTCTCTAATTTTCCAGCTTTCACTTTTTTTCCTGCATATTAATTCTTAAAAGAGGTTGGAGGTTGGGCCCTCCCTGGTGACACAGCGGGCAAAAGCACAGCACTAAGAAGCTAAAGGCACTTCCGCATGAGTTCGATTCCCACCTGCCCCGAGGAGATCCACATGGTGCGAGGAGATCCACATGGTGGGAGGAGATCCACATGGTGCGGCAGACCTCTCCTGACCCACCCGCTGCTCCCCTCTCTGTCTCTGGTGAATCCTCTCACCCTCCACATCTCTGGCCTGTACCCCAGTTCCACATGAATAAATAAATAAATCTTAAAAAAAAAAAAAGAGGCTGGAGGTAAAAGTAGGGGATTAAAAATACAACTATTGGCCCTCCCTGGTGGCGCAGCGGGTTAAAGCACAGCACTGAGAATCTGAAGCCACTTCCGCATGAGTTCAATTCCCGCCTGCCCCGGAGGAGACCACATGGCGAGCCAGACCTCTCCTGACCCGCCCGCTGCTTCCCTCAGCAGTGTACTTCGTCCATCTGCCTGTTCTGCTCCCCACTCTGTCTCTGGTGAAGCCTCTCACCGCCCCTGAGCCTCTGGCCTGTACCCCAGTTCTGTATGCACAAATAAATAAATAAATCTTTAAAAAAAAAATACAACTATTTATGTATTGTAGGGGAGGTACAGGATAAAGTCTGTGTAACAGGGCAAGGAGAGAGGGGGAACCCTAAGCCCCCAAACCTGACTGCTCTAAATAGGGCATCCGCTGCATCAATACAAGACATATAAGACTTTAATGAAAATACTTTAATACAGTGAGTATACAACATAGAAGATAAAGAATATAATTTTTAAATCAAACACCTGAAGTTACCCATCCCCTCATGGGCAAAAGTCCACCCACAAGGGATTGGTCCCAAGCAAGCCTGGAAAGCCCATTGCAAGCCTAAAGCAACTTCTGGCTGGGACCCATAGAAAAGTGTCAGAAATGGCCAGACAAGTCTGGGAAGAAAAGAGCACAATCAAAATCAATATAAACACTGCCATAGTCAACCTCCCCATGGGTCTGTCTCTCCACACATCTGCTTCAACCAGCACAGGGCCAAGAACCAAGCATGGCTTCTTCATCACGTGCTCTCTGCTCAGCTCCACCCTCCTTCTGGGTGGGGCAGGGAACCTGGCACTTCCCCTTTTCCTGGGGACCTGTTATATCTGGACAAAGAATTCATCATAAAATTGTAATAATGATGAAGCTATAGGAACTCTTAATTTTCAATCATATTAGTAGAAAATATTCAGTGAGTATTAGAAAAAATATTCAATAATATTGAAGGTAATGTTTTCTTAAACATTGGAGTAATTTTCCTGTCATTCCTAAGTCAAATTCCGATTTTCCTCCTTTCCTCATCTTCATTCTATAAAGAGAAAACCCCTCAATACCTTAAAAAGCAAACACTTGAACAAAGGTGTACTATATACTCTATAATATTCTGCATTTATGTTGGTTGTTTTTTATAGACTACATTATTTTGCATTTATATTGGTTGTTTTTATATCTATAATTGGTTGTTTTAAAGAAGATTTGAACTAAATGTTGTAGGATCCATAGTTTGAAGTAAAATGTGTAGAGATGTCCTTTCTTAGAAAAAATATTAAGTTAAGCCTTTCTATTTGGCTGTCAGTATTTTTACATACTTACATATTTTGTGAGAGATATACAAAGGAAATATGTTTGCATCTAATTGTCTTATCTCCTAAAGAGTCCTTTTTCAACAGAGATTAAAAAAAAATTGCCTACTCTAACCTGTGCATTATCTTTCTTTTCCCTATTTAGGCCCAGATTGCCTTTCTTCAAGGGGAACGGAAAGGTCAAGAAAATTTGAAGAAAGATCTTGTAAGGAGGATCAAAATGCTGGAGTATGCTCTTAAACAGGAAAGGTAATTCAGTAACATTGAAGATAACGTTTTCTTAAATATTGGAATAATTTTTCTGCTACTCCTAAGCCAAATTCTGATTTTAATACTTTACATTTTCAATTCAGGAAGTAGTATCTATAATAAATGTTTAGAAAGGGTTAAAAATTAGTTTTATTATGAAATATGGGCTCTCCCTGGTGGTGTAGCGGGTTAAAGCACAGCACTAAGAAACACAACACTAAGAAACTACCACAGCTACAGCTGCACGGGTTTGATCCCCAGCCAGGGGGGTGACCCACATGGTGTGGCAGACATCTCATGACCCGCCTGCTGCTCCCCTCAGCACATCTGCCTATTCTCCCCACTCTGTCTCTGGTGAATCCTCTCATGCTCCCATACCTCTGGCCTGTATCCCAGTTCTGTATGTATAAGTAAATAAATCTTTTTGTAATAAGTATTTTAAAAAAATTAGTTTTACTATGAAAATTTTTAAATAATGACCAATACACTGACTTGTATGATTTTTAAAATTTTAGTACCTTCTGTCCTGTCCTTTCTTAAGAATTAGGTACTTTCTGAAATCTCGGTATTGGTTTTTTCAATTAAGAATTTTTTTTTTTTTTCAAATTAAGACAACATTGGCTTACAACCCTGTATATGATTCAGGTGTAATTCAATATTGGTTTCTTCATGGAATTGATGCCAGTTTTATAGTTTTAGTGAAGGAAATTTCTACAGTGCTTACTCCCCTTACCTATTATCTATTATTATTCCATTTGATTTATTTTCCATAGAAAAGAATTGTTCTCACAGACAGTTGACAGATTAACTCTTTCTTGAGCTCAGATATTTATATTGCTTCCTAAGTTGATCATCTATTTTACTAGTTTCTAAGATACTGAAATTGGTTTACAAATAAAGAATGGTAGGTCATTAATGAGAGTTATATTTTTATGAGTTAATAACATTTTTTTATTTTTTTAAAGATTTATTTATTTATGCATACAGAACTGGGGTACAGGCCAAAAGTGCAGGGTCAGTGAAATGATTCACTAGTGATAGAGCAGGGAGCAGAACAGGAATATTGACTAAGCACACTGCTGAGGGGAGCAGCTGGCAGCACCGTGTGGGTCAGCTCCCTGGTCAGGAAATAAACTCATGCTGCAGTGGCTGGTGACAGCTTGATAGCACTGTGACTGATCCTTGTGCCTCCAGGGAAGCTCAGAAAACACTTAAAAATATGTAATTGGGAATATTTGAGAATTTAGGCTCTGTAATTTTAGGCATAATGATAAGAGCGAGGAAGAAAAACTAATAACAGCACTGAACTGTTAACTACTGTGTATCAGGACCTGCAACTTAAAAACTAATTTGGGTAGAATTGCAAAACTACAGTAAAACTGTAATTCATATCCCCCAGGTCTGTCTGGGGGATCCTTTATTCTTCCCCTGTATATTATACTATTCATGTAGGCATGATATATTGGTTGAAAATATACCAATACTAAAGTAATCAAGAATTGTGTATGTGTATCCCTTCAAATTAAACATTAAGTTATCCAACTTAAGTACTAAGTATCAACATCATAATCCTTGTTTCCTTAAGGACTTGGAGAGTTGTAAATAAATAGATTTATAGCAAAAAATGTACAGTGCAATTTTATAAGTGCTTTGGGAGACGCTTGTACAGTTGCAAACAAGTTCAAAGTCTATACCAAGCACAAAGAAGGGAGTGGTCATTTATCTGGAAAGTGGAAGTATGCTTCTAATTAGAGGGTGTGAGACCTGAACTACATCATAAAGAACCAGATGTTTGCTAGAGAGGCAAGATTCAGGAAAAAGGGAATGGAAATGGAAGTATGCATGGAAGGCAGAGTGTTGTAAGTTGAAAAAAAATAATATTAGAGCTGGGCAAGAGCCAAATCATAGAGAACCTAACCGAGGAATTGTAATTTTTACCTATTAACAGGGAACATTACAAGTTTGAAAAAACTTTTATTTTAAAATAATTTCAAATTAAAGAAATGTCATGAACTATAAACCTTTTATCTATATTTACCTTTTATCTATATTTTACCATTACTTCCCATGCTAACTTTCTATATGTTTATACATATTTTTCCTTCTGAATCATTTACTTAGTTCAGGTATTATGCTTCTTTGCCCTTAATCTCTTGATGTATATTTTTGAAGAGCAAGGACATTCTCATATAATTATATATAGCTCATTATCAAATTAAAGAAATTTCATTTTAATATAGCTGTGTTATATGAAATAACCAATATTGATATAATCCAATTAAAACTGTTGTAACATTTCCCCCACCAAATGTGCCAATAGTAATCACTGTAATGAGCCTTTTTGGTGGCCTAGGAATTACGTGTCCGTGCTATCACCACTGTGGCCTTGTTACAGGGCACCCCAATGTGAATTGGGTTGCCTGTCTGTGGGTTTTGCCATCCGCCGCATCAAGACAAAATATATAAAACTTTAATGGAAAGGGACTTTAATACAGTAAATGTACAATATGGAACACAAAGAATGTAACTTCTAAATCAAACACCTGAAGCTACACATCCCCTTGTGGGCAAAAGTCAACCCAAAAGGGATTGGCCCACAGCAAGGCCTGAAAGCCCCCAAAAAACTAAAGCACCTTCTGGCCGGGACCCATGGAAAAGGGTCAGAAATGGCCAGACAAGTCTGGGAGGAAAAGAGCAAATCAAAATCAGTATAAATACTGCCATAGTCACCTCCCTACAGGTATCTCACCCACATCTGCCTTAACCAGTCCAGGGTCAGGAGACAAGCACGGTTTCTTCCTTACATGCTTGCTGCTCCATGTGGCTTCCTCAGGTCTCCTTCTTGTTCTCCATTCAGCTTCCTTCTCTTCTTCTCTTCTGATTCCTTCTCTTCTCTCTTTTTTCTCTGCTCACCTCCACCCTCCTTCTGGGTAGGGCAGGGAACCTGGAACTTCCCCTTTTCCTAGGGACTACCCTATTACAGCCTGAGGTCACTTTCCTGCCATGGAGCTGACCCATATATGGCACAGCAGACATCTTCTGTCTCTCCTGCTGCTCCCTTTAGCAGTGTATTTCAGTAAATCCATTTGTTCTGCTCCCCACTCTGTTTCTTGTAAAGCCTCTCACCCCCTCCCACACCTCATGCCCATACTCCAATTCTTCTACACAATAAATAAACAAATAAATAATTGCCATTGTATTTTTTGTAGTCAAATCCAATCTAAGAATACTTAGTTAAGAGGGTTTTAGCATAGAATAATATGGAATAGATTTTTAGATAGGTCATCCTGACTTTAAATATTGGGAGGGGGCTAGTAAGACCTTTTAATAGAAACAGGATTATAATATATCATTCAGTATAAGCAGTAATAACATAGTAGCGGCTGGAATAGAGAAGGCATTAACTAGAGAACTTTAAATAAAATTCATGATTATAAGTAGGAAGTAAGGAATGGTTTCCAGGCTTCTGACTTGAGGCATAGCATGAATTACAAGTGAGAATTTTGGAAGTTGTCAAAGGAATGAAAGAATTAGAGCATGAAAGGCAACTGTAGAAGTGGGGAGCACTCGTGACATTGTTGTTACAGGGCAACCCGATGTGAACTGGGTTGCCTGTCTGTGGGTCCTCACCCGTGTGCTTAAGATTCAATTGTACTGCGGACACACACATAAAGGGTCAATAATGGGTTTATTTACAATACGAAAGGGAAAGGAACAACCCAGGGAAAGAGAGAGATGAGAGACCAGCGGTGAACCACCAGGCCAAGAGCCCGCTGGAGCCCACATATTCAGTCTTATACCAACCCGGCTGCTCAGCTCCACCCTCTGGTCCCTGAGTGCTTCCCATTGGTATTGGTGGGGTTTGTAGTTCCAGTATCTAGGGTGGGGGTGGAGTCCATGAAACTTGTATCTTTTACAACTTGAGTTATATACTTAAGAATCCTCAGTATTGGTAATGAAGTTACAGAAGTAGTTCACAGCAAGTATTGTGGGAAGAGATAAGAGAACCAACAGGAGCCATAGGAGATGTTTGAGAAAAAGGCCAAGGCAGAAGAGCCCACAAAGGAGTAGTTGAGAAGGAAGGAGAGAGCAGTGTATTGGATGCACACTACAGAAGGTGGGAGTTTGACAATTGCAGATGCCACGCAGACTACAAATAAATTGTGTACTGAAAATAGTCATGTGGTTTGCCAGTTAGGAGCTTGTATGTATTCTTGCCAAAACAGCTTCAGTGAGGTAACAGGAACATAAAACAGATCACAGGGCGTTGAGTGTGAGAAGGAATAGATAAAGTGGAAGAGTCCCCCCACCCCAGCCCCACCACCAGTAGTTTGGCTTTGAAAAACAGAAGAGATAAAGAACAGGCTGAGTCTAGGGAATTTATTTTTTTGCTAATGAGATTCTTGGGGGGGGGGATTGTTCTTGATTTTTTTATCTTTTGATATCCTGGAATGATTGGAATTCATTGCTAATATAAAGGCACTGTTTACATATAATAAAGAATATAAAAGCATTTCTTTGTGAATTAGAGCTCTATAACATTTCAGTTCTTTTTACTCTGAAGCTGTTTTTTTAATGCCTTAAACTAGGATTTTAAAATATTTCATATTTATTGAAAATTTGAAACTAATAGCTTTTCATATACACCCCCAGAGTAGTTTTTGTTAGTCTTGCTTCATTTAGATCTATTTTTGAGCAAAAAAAAATTCTTGTTCTTTAATCTCTGAGCAAACACTTAAGTAAGGATGTTGGTTTTGAAATGCTGTGTTATAGACTTTATGAGTTGTCCCACTTACGAAGGTTAAAAATTAAGTAAAACCAAATCTTTAACAATACAGAAAGATTTCTTACCTAGCAATGGATTTATCATAGCATTCCTTAAAAATTACAAAATGAGCAGATTTGCATATAATTTTCCAGGAATGAATAGTTTATAATCTGAGGTTTATTCAAAAACGTTCATACTGATGAGTCTCAATAAGATGTAAAATATAATTCTGAGAAATTTCTTCCATTCCCCCCTCACCAGCCACCCATTTCTCTCTCTTATCTACACTACTGTAGTAATTCTCGTCCTTGGCTCTGATATTTCTATATTCTAATTCACCTTCTATGTCTATAGAATTCCGTTCTAAAATACAGATGTTCTATACCTGATTTATAGTAACTGACAGATTTCAGAGATCTTATTAAAACCTTACAGTCAAACCCCTTTCTAGATACAACACATATACACACAGCTGTCTTTTGACATTTTGACATGCTGTTCATTTTTTCTACTCTTTTAAAGGTGTACCTCCCAACAGAAAAACCTTTTCTTTAACCCTTTAGTATGATTAGAAAACTACTATTTTCAGTTTCAGATAAAATCTTTTGCTTAACTACCTTTTCGGTATCTCTGCTAGTCACTACCTGTGATAGAATTAAGTCATTTCTTGTCTGAATAACTATATAAACTATATAACTATGTGTGTGTGTGTTCCTATATACCGCTCATCACAGTGTTCCATAATTATTTACATTTTTGTCTCTTATATTTATGTGCCTCTACATTTAACTGACTACAAGCTGCAGGTTATTCTCAGCATCTAGTACAGTGCCTGGCATGTGTTAAGAATTCAATAACAATTCATTGAATTTAAATGAATTATCTTTAGCATAAGCATTTACTCATTTTTAAAGATTTTATTTGTTTATGCATAGAAGAACTATAGGCCATAGTGGAGGGTGAGAAGTTTCACCAGGGTCAGAGAGCAGAACAGGTGGATCCACTGTAATAACAGTGCAGCAGGGGAGACAGGAGAGGTCCGCTGTGCCAAGTGTGGGTTAACTCCCTGACTGGGGATGGAACTCAGACCATCCTGTGTGCCTTTTTGGTGATAGCACTAAGACTTACACTCTACATTACCAGGGGGCCCTAGAATCAGCATTTAAAGCATGGTAAGGATGCTATGTATATTCCTTGTACATTGCATTAAGTAATAATCGACATTGAAACAAGGCTGTAATGGGACTATGTTTGTTAGAAAGTTTTTTTTTAATTGTATATGTATTTAAATATTTTATTTTTGCCTTTATAGAAAACTACAGTGACATAAATATCAAATCCCATTGCTTATGAATATAACATTTTCTAGTCCTACTTTGTTTTTTTTTTGTTTTGTTTTTTGTTTTTTTTTTAAAGATTTATTTATTTATTCATACAGAACTGGGGTACAGGCCAGAGATGCGGAGGGTGAGAGGCTTCACCAGAGACAGAGTGGGGAGCAGAACAGGCAGATCGACGAAGTACACTGCTGAGGGGAGCAGCGGGCGGGCCAGGAGAGGTCTGCCACGCCATGTGGTCACCTCCCGGGCAGGCGGGGATCGAACTCATGCGGAAGTGGCTTTAGTCTCTCAGTTCAGTGCTTTAACCCGCTGCGCCACCAGGGAGGGCCAGTACTTTATGTTTTTTTAAAATTGAGATATTATTGGGGTATACTTACCAGTCATTACCACCATAGTGTACCCACCACCAACTTGCCCATATTCCACTACTATAAACATTGTGCTTCCTTCCTTTGTACTTTCCCCTCCCTTCCCTGCTGATATATTTTTTTAAAGAGATTTATTTATTTATGCATACAGAACTGAGTACAGGTCAGAGGTGCAGGGGTGGTGAGAGTATTCACCAGAGACAGAGCGGGGAGTGGAATAGGCAGATCAGCTAAGTACACTGCTGAGGAAAGCAGTGGTTGAGACAGAAGTTTGCTGCGTCATGTGGGTCACCTCCCTGACTGGGCATTAAACGCTTGCTGAAGCATCTGCAGCTAGCTTCATAGTGCTGTGCTTTAACCAGTTGCACCATCTAGGAGGGCCTAATATTTTCTCTTTCCTAATATTTTCTCTTTCTCTGTCTGACTTATATTACTTAGAATTATCTTTGCACATTCCATCAGGTTTTTATGCTCTTTTTCCATCCAGTAAGGCCAGTTTGGAGGCCTGTCAACTTTTGAGTTGTTAGATATAAAGCTACTTATTTATCTTAGATTTGTTTAGATGACTAGGTAACAAGACTGAGGAATAACATTGGTTATTGAAATTAGTCTGAGTTTTCTATTAGAATTTATTTTCTGTTAGAATTCATTTTCATCAACTATGTTTTCCTAGGAAATTTTACATTTCCTCTAACTTCATATTTATGTAAGTCTTCAAACTAAACTCCTTTTTATACGTAACAAAAAAGAAAAGTTGGTAACAGAGAGATGAAGTGGAAACAATATGTGAAACAATATGGCTGGGAAGGTCTTTTAGTCTGTTGGCTTCAAAAGGAACGTTAAGGTAGGATTGTGAGTAAATTATTTTTTCAACAAACTTAATGTAGTTGAGAGATCTTACTTAACACATCTTGTGGTTAACATAGCATTACTTTACTTATTAGCTTTTGTCTAATCATAGTATGTTATTACTTTGTTAAATTTATCTTATTTTTTCTTTTTAAAATTCATTTTTTACATCATTCTTCATTTCGTACATTTTTTAATCTCAGTTGTAATACCTGTGGACGACCCACTACCAGTTCACCCATGTGCCACCACCATTGTTCTTTGTGCTCTTGCCACCCCTGATTTGGTCCTATTCCCATCTCAGCCCTGTTAAATATTATCTTGACAGACTACATCTGCTTTTTTGTAAGCTCTGTTGCATTTTTTCCTAGCACCACTAGAAAGCACTATAGAGAAGTGCTTGGAAATGCTTTTCTTTTTATATAAATATCAATACAAATTAACTCCATAGAATTTCATTGCAACTTTGATTCTGTCCCCAGGCCAGTTACTTTCAGTTGCAGCTTTGACTTTTTGGACATAATGTTACTTATGGTAGAGGAAGTTAGGCTACTGGAAAATCTGAGATTGACAATATACTAAAATGGACGAGGAAATGTAGTCTGATGATGAAATCCTTGTGTTTAAGAGAAGCACTGCAAATAGAGAAAAAGATGTTCTAGGTAATTTGGAATAAATGTATTTATGAAAAATATTTTTAAAAGAAATGTGTAAATGTAGTTAATTAATCAAATAACAAAACAGTCTGCCTTCTCAGTTCACTAATTTTTCTGTACCAAAGAAAATCTTATTAATTAGTGTTAGATGTATTACATATCCTTCAAGAAAAATTTTATGCATCAGGAACATACATAGCAGACTTATAAAATACAAAGAACTTTAGAACACACACACATTTAACTTATGTAGATAGAAGTTTGTATTTTGTTTTATTACTCAAGTTTATAGAGAAATCCTTATTAGCACATAATTGTTTTTCCTTTTAATGGGTACATGTTATTATAAAATATTTCATGCATATACAAATGTTGTAAAGACGGCCCTCCCTGGTGGCGCAGCGGGTTAAAGCACAGCACTAAGAAGCTAAAGTCACTTCCGCATGAGTTCGATTCCCGCCTGCCCGGGAGGTGACCACATGGCGTGGCAGACCTCTCCTGACCCACCCGCTGTTCCCCTCAGCAGTATACTTCGTCTATCTGCCTGTTCTGCTCCCCGCTCTGTCTCTGGTGAAGCCTCTCACCGCCCCTGAGCCTCTGGCCTGTACCCCAGTTCTGTATGTACAAATAAATAAATCTTAAAAAAAAAAAAAAGTTGTAAAGACTAATAATAAATACTTACCCACCAGCTACCTTGAATAGGATATTAGGTACGTATAATTTTCATGCTTCTTTATTTCTTTATATGAAATTTTGATTTTTCTGTTGTAACTATAAAATAAATAGTACTACCAAAATGTGAATGCCAGTACTTTACACAATTATGTAAATTATTTTCATTTTCTTTATAGAGGAAAAAAATGCCTCAAACTTTGTTGCTATCCTTCTATTTCTTCTTTACACTTTTTATTATTTTCCCTGTCTTATTATATTGAGTATTTATTATAAATGGCTTCACTATTTTAGAGAGGCAAACAAGTCAAAATATACATACATTAAGTGTGACTGTATTTAGATAATCTTTTATTTTTTCTGAATTTTCTGGTCTCAGATGGTTAAATCTGAAATGGTTAGATTGATTAACCAAAATAATAACTTTTCTCTTTTAAAAGAAGACAAACACGATGTCTGTGTAAATTCTTTTTGGAAAAACCAGACAGAATGTGTGTGTATTTGTGTGTGTGTATATTCCTATCAGATTATCTTACTCATCATTTGTGATTTAGTCAGGTTCCCCTGCCTTTGTATTTTTCTCTGTAATACATACTTTCAAATCTCAGTTACCTTATAAGATAGAGTATTATTGATGACTTTTCTTTTTTAAAACTCAGATTTGAGAAAGCTTACATTTTATGAGTTTATTTCACTAGTCAAGTTTTTTTAGTGCTTTATTTCACTATTCAAGCTTTTTAGTGCTTTTAATAATAGAGTTCTATTTTGGCAGTCATCATGGAAATTTGAATTCCACAGAAACTAGATGGTTAGGTTGTTGATTTGTAGTCACAGAGAGGTGATTGTGGCTCTCAGTTATACTTGCTATAATGGCCTTTGATGGTATAACAACAAAATAGTAATGGCAGATACTTTTGTATTACAACTTACACACTGGAAGGCTATGATTCTTTGAAAGTTAGCCAAGACTACTGCATATTGATCTCCTACTATAGATCTTAAAGTTTGTTTAAATATATTTTAAGTTGGTTTGTATTTTCTCATTTCTTTGTTAGAGCCAAATACCACAAGCTGAAATATGGAACAGAATTGAATCAGGGAGATATGAAGCCTCCAAGCTATGATTCTGGTAAGCTAATTTTAAAAGATGTTAATTAAAAAGAAATTAATGCCTCATATTTTGTAGCAACAATATTTATAATTGCAAATTAATTTATCGTTATTTGTATATTAGTTGTCTTTTTCTATTCTACTTATCTTTTGGCTCTAATTGCTTGGTGTCATTTAGATCATTTTCTACCTCTTTCCTTGCTTTTCCCTCTCCCTTCTTTTAGTTCACCATTTTCTGCTTATGTTCTAAGGCATATAGATAAAAATCACTTACTAGTAGGTGTAGTGGGAAAGTAAGAAAGTTGTTAAAAGTTAAACCATTTTTCAGGTAAGTGTATTTTTGATATAATTTCAAATTAAATTTTTGTGTCAAATATCTGAAGATATTATCATTTGTATTATTTACTAAATACCTGCCTTATTGGACTTTATGTGTATTAAAAGTAATTGTTAAAATAGTTATTCAATGGAGGTAATATTATTGGTATTTTAAATATCTGAAATTTACACTGAGAATTTGAGAAACTTGGCCCGGGTCACAATCTGTTAAGTAATGGGAATATGGATCTAAACTCACGTCTAGCCGACTTTATAATTCATATTCTTTCCATTTTATACAGTGCATTTGTATTTGACAGTCATGACTTTATAAAACAAGTTCGAAGTGTACTGCCAGTTTTGATGTTATCAATGTTTCCAGAGGTGGATAGTGAATCCTTGAGATTTTTTTTTCCTTTGCTTTATAATTGTTCTGTTTTTTTGGTATCTCGTAACTTGAGATGCTGGTAATTAATTTTTTTTCTTTTTAATAAATGCATAGTTATTTTGGTTAGTATTTTTACATGAAGCTGTTTGTTTTCTAATTTTTAGCTGTCACTTTAGAAGGATTAAGGCCAAGTTGTAATGCATAAGAAAAGTTTTAAATAAGGTGGCTCACTAAAAAGAGTTTGGGTTTTGAAATCAGATATATTTGTTTGCCCATATACTTTAACCACCTGTAATATTAGTTAATCTTTTTCAGGTTGTTCCATTAGGTATTTAGTAGACTGGAATAATTCCGAACTATAAGGTTTATTCTACTTCAGTAGCTAGTGTCATCTCATCTGTCCGTCTTTCCCACTATCAATTTATTTTACAAATGTTAAATACATAGTGCTTGTCACTGTAATCCTAAATTGAGTGAATAAGATAACATTGCCTTTTTTTTTTTTCAGGAAAGATAAAGAATAGGTGATTTCAGTAAAATTAATGGAGCAGTAATAGGTGTTGTGAAGCACAATAGCAGGGATATTCATCTAGTCTTAAGTAGTCAAGAAATGCTTATTGCAGTGATGCTTAATGCTGATATCCAAAGGACAAGAATAAATAGTGAGAAGTAGACTAAATATTTGTTGAGTGAGAAGTAGGAGAGAAAAACTGAGTATTGGTGGTAAAGTTCTGAAGTAAAAATATGTCACACTTAAGAAAGGAAATAATGGATAATAGAAAGGGGGAAAAGAGTGTTTTTAGATGTAGCTAGAGAGTTAGCCACGGATCAGATGGTGAAACACATTAAGAGACTTGTAAAATATGTTATATAGTTTACACTGTATCTTAGAAGTTATGAGGAGCCATTTGAAGGATCTTCATTAAGAATCTTGTGGCCAGATTTTCTCTTGTCACATTGACAACAGTGTGTAAGAAAGAGGAGAGCAAAATTGGGAGTAGTTTGAGGACTGTTACAGAAAAAAGAGGGAGTCAAAAATAACTTCCAAAGTTGAAGAAGTAGGCCAGAAAAAGGTTTGGAAGATGGTGGTTCACTATTATATTTATTTGTTAAGCTAGAAGATAGTTAGATATGTGGTCTGGATGAAGCTCAAGCCAGAAGTGTGGATTTGCTATGTAGATTTAAAAGACTGGAATAAGAACAGAAACCTGAAAGCAAAAACTTTACAAGTATGAGCTTGCTTAATGGTCAGAGGGAAACTAGGAGTTTGAAAACCAAGGGTGGAGAGAATTCAGAAGGAAAGCCCTTCAGCACTAATGTTTAAAAATCAAAGGGCTGGAAAGTACCTCTTAAGATACAGTGACACACAGGTCAATGAGAAATTTATTTGAGCATTTTTAGGAGAGAAATGTGGGGAGAAATAAAGCCAGGAGTGGAAAAAATAAGACTACATATAGTCAACTTCTGGGAAGCATAGGCTGTAAAGGAGAAAAGGACATACTTGTATGTCTGAAAGTTTACTATTTTGCTCACTTTCATTGTTTTTGATGAGTTATGTTCTGTCATCCTTTGTTGTTTTTTAAGTGGGTAAGGATTTACTGAACTTGGCTTAATTTATTTTTTATTAAGGTATAATTTACAAACAGTGAAATTTACCTTTTTAGTCTTTTCACAAATCTTGTTGCAATTATCTTGTTTCACAACCTTGTTGCTATTTATCTTTTATAGTCAACCCTTTCCTCTCCATTTGCATTCTTTGACAACATAATTTGTCTTACGTTCCTATAATTTTGCCTTTTAAAGAAAGCCCTAAGTTTCACAGAGTCATACAGAATGGGACCTTTTGATTCTAGCTTTGTTCTCGCTTAACATGATGCCTTTGAAATTCAGTGTTTATCAGTAATTCATTCTTTGCTGTTGAGTAGTGTTCCACTGAATGCATCTGCTACACTTTGGTAACATCACTGGCTGCCACAGTAGGCAGACAGTGAGTATACCTATCTGAGAATATAATGGAAAGGATTTAGACCTATTTTGGTGGGAAAATAGCTGACTAAAATCCTTTCATGTCTAAAATTTTCAGTTTTCAATTCAAGTGTAAATGTTCTTATGTGCAAGTATGTGTTACTTTCTTGACACATTGTTGTAGACAGTTTCTGATTTTTATTATTCAATAATACATATATATATATATTTCCTTAGTATTGGAACATTGCTTTTGCCTCTTTTTTTTTAAATTTATTTTTTCACATAGAACTGGGATACAGGCCAGAGATGCAGAGGTGGTAAGAGGATTCACCAGAGACAGAGTGGGGAGCAGAATAGGCAGATGTACTAAAATATACTGCTGAGGGGAGTAGCGGTGGGTCAGGAAAGATCTGCATGCCATATTGGTCACCTCCTTGGCTAGGAATCGAACTTGAGCTGCAGCGACTGCAGATAACTTCATAGTGCTCTGCCCTGACCTGTTGTGCCACCAGGGAGGGCCAAATTTATTATTTTTAAAATTATTATACTTTTTAGTTGAGGTAACATTGTGACACTCCATGAAGTATCCTAGAATATTCCTTTTTGAATTCCCCTCCTCTCCTTCCCCCAAGTCCTTATGTGCTATTTCATACATCACAGAACTTCATCTAGTTATTTTAGGAAAAAAATAAAAATGCAAGATATAATTTTGTTTTTAGTCACATAATTTCTCCTCATTATAGTGATAGCTGTGGAAGAAAATTTGGAACCAAACAGACAAGACCCAATACTTTACGGTCAGCTCTTTACCTGGCAACTACTGTGCTTTCTGTTCATTTTATTTTTTTAAAGATTTATTTATTTATGCATACAGAACTGGGGTACAGGCCAGAGATGCAGGGGTGGTGAGAGGATTCACCAGCGGTAGAGTGGGGAGAACAGACCGATTGACTGACTAAGAACACAGCAGAGGGGAGCAGCGGGCAGGTCAGGAGGTCTGCCTGGCCCAGGGTGGGGATCGAACTCATGCTGAAGTGGCTTTAGCTTCTCAGTGTTGTGCTTTAACCCACTGCACCACCGGGAGGGCACTTTCTGTTTCTTTTAAGGAAAGTCATATAGGCCCTTCCTGGTGGTGCAAAAAAAGTACAGCACCATGAAGCTATCACAGGCGCTGCAGCAGGAGTAACACATTGTGGGTTATAATTAAATCTTTTCACCTTAGATATTTCTAGACTTGGAAGTATATGGACTCTCTCATTTGAATAGTAGATTATAAGGTACCATGTGAGTGTGGCTCACTATTTTACTGCTGCCAGCGGCTGCAGGTAGCTTCTTAGTGCTGTGCTTTAACCTGTTGTGCCTCCAGGAAAGGCCCCAGAGACTTTTAAAAGAATATTGTGGTTGTCATACAATAAACTAGTGAAAAAAAAGATTTGTTTGAGAATTTTCCTTATTTTTCTACTTATCAAACTGATTTTTCTACCATCATTCTTAAATGTTTTGTTCTAGTCTGATGTGGTGTTTCATAACACTTTGCTTCATTTTATAACAATTTGTCAGTTAATTTGGATAGGTCTTCGTCTTGGAGAAGGGCTGCCTGAAGATCAGCAAAATACCTTTAGTTTTGTTACTCTCAGAGAGATATAATAGCATTAATCAATTTATATTAGCGATCCATTATGGAAATCAGACTTGAAAACAGCATTTATGTTATCCTAAAAAAATAACTTAGAGTGCAATTTTACATATCCTTAATCTTACAAATTTTCATTTGTTCTTTGAGATACTGTATAATGTATAAACCAAATCAGTTTTATTATAATTTAATGTTTTCCAGATGAAGGTAATGAAACAGAGGTGCAGCCACAACAAAATAGCCAGTTAATGTGGAAACAAGGTCGACAGCTACTCAGACAGTAAGTATCTTGTGGTTAAATTAAAGAGCAAAAAAACATAATGCTATAAGATTGTTTTTATTTTGTATTTTCAACTCATAATAATTTTAGCTCATTTTATTATACTGCTAATATGAAGAAACTTAATTATTGTTTTGTTTTCATATTATACACTTTTTCCCTTGTGGAATTTATTTTTCATAAATATTAATAAGAATGCCCCATAATTTCAACTTCATCAAAAGAATACAGTTTTACGCTTCTGAATTTTATTTTATTTAAAGATTTATTTATTTATACATACAAGAACTGGGGGTATAGGCCAGAGGTGCGGTTGGTGGGAGGGTGGATAAGAGGATTAACCAGAGACAGAGAGGAATAGAACAGGCAGCTCTACTAGCTCTACTGAAATCCACTGCTGAGGGGAGCAGCCGGCAAGACAGGAGAGGCCTGACTGGCCATGTGGGTCAGCTCCCTAACCAGGGGTTGAACTTACGGTGTAGTAACTGTGGATGCTTCATAGTGCTGTGCTTTAACCCATTACACCATCAGACAAAGGCCCTAAATTTTATTGTACACTTAAATTTATAGTTAAAAGAGTTCTATACCTTTAAAGTTACTTTTATAGTTGGATATACATGTTTTAATACAAGTCTAATCAATATTTACATGTGATTTTATGTTATGTTTTTAAACTAAAACTTGAACATCTCAAGTTTGCAGATATCACATGAACATGTACTTTCTTCTATAAAATGAGCATTTGAGGCTATAAAGTTGTATTCAAGTTCAGATGTCAAGATGGTGAACTAGAGTCATTCACCTGCTCTGTACCTGACTCTTGTATAAGACCTTTGAAACTCACATTCAGATTTGTGCTCAGTAAAATGAAATTTACTACCTGTTTTGTACTTTTGGATTTGCTTGTAAATTGTCTCAATTTAGGATTGCCGAACTTAATGGATGGTAGCCATGCGTTTGTCAGTGGAAGAGAATACTTAAAACATCTATATGGTTAGAAAAATTTGAGACATCATTAATACTTTTTTTTAAAGATTTATTTATTTATGCATACAGAGCTGGGGTACAGGCCAGAGGCTCGGGGCGGTGAGAGGCTTCACCAGAGACAGAGTGGGGAGCAGAACAGGCAGATCGACGAAGTACACTACTGAGGGGAGCAGCGGGCAGGTCAGGAGAGGTCTGCCACGCCATGTGGTCACCTCCGGGGCAGGCGGGAATCGAACTCATGCGGAAGCAGCTTTAGCTTCTCAGTGCAGTGCTTTCACCCGCTGCGCCACCAGGGAGGGCCGACATCATTAATATTTAATAAGTGAGTTTTCACTAGCTCCCTCAAGTTAGTCTTAAATGAGTTTTGCATTGCTCTTTTATAATTAGGTGTTCTTTCTTTAAATGAGAAATAGTTTTTGTAGTTTTTTCTGAAAATTTTTAACTCATAATCTGTTCCTCAGTGTAAAGGTAACTTTCTACCAATCAATAAAAAAGTAACTATTTAGTAAAATCAACTCAACTATGGAAAGAGCAGATTTTTAAAAAGATTTATTTTATTTATTTATGCACAGAAGAGCTTGGAGGTAGACCAGAGTGGGTGGTAAAAGGATTCACCGGAGACAGATTGGGGCTATACTGGCTGGCATACTGAAATACACTGCTGAAGAGAGTAGTGGGCGGGACCAGAGAGGTCTGCTGTGACCCCTGGCTGGGGATTGAACACTTTTGCAGTAGCTAGTGGTAGCTTGATAGTGCTCTAATTTTAAGCCCTGAACCACCCAGGAGGCTCCTGGGTGCAGGTTTTGAAAAGAGCAGTTTTTGAAAAGTATTTGTAATGTGATTTTGTTGCCCAAGTGATGCATATATCAAATATTATCTGTTAAATATAGAACAATATTTGTACTACTTTGTCAGAACAGCTGGTTAAATTTGGGAAAGTTAGAGATTCATTTTCCAAATTTTCATCAGAACCTCTAGATTTATTGAGTAGGGTTAAAAAAAGAACAGCTTGATATAATATTATATACTTACCCCATTTTGGCCACATATCATTGTGAATATCTCTGAATTACAGTAATTAGTAATACCAGATTTTAAAATAAACTGACCTCAGACTGGTTGTTTTGTCCTTTTTTTTTTTTTTTTTCCATCATAGACTTGATCCCACCTTAGGAGTTAGTGCCTAACTTTGTCATGTTTATTATTGACGTTATTAGTGAAATGCACGTTTTTCGTGTTTCTGCCACTACTACTATTTGCCTTTTTTTGTCATCTCTGTTAGTAGATATTGAGTGCTTTCTATATGCCTGTCTCTTTTAGGAGAAAGAAAACTGAGCTTTGTGAGAATTAAAGTTATGAAGGAAGAAATGGGCTTTAGAAACACTGCTAACTCAGTACAAGCCTATGCTGCCTTTTTCCTCCCTCCTCTCTGTGTTCCTGCCTCTTTGTAACACTCACATTCATCCTCCATCTCACAACTGAGTTGTGGTCTACTTTAATTTTAGAATTACCTCAGGATAGAAGAATTTCTTCTGTAAAAGTGACTCTCATTGAAAGTAGTTTATCTTCTTGTATGTCATGAAGGAAACCATATACACTACACACATTCATTCTAAATCTCAAATAGTTGATTTAGTGACACAATTGTAAAAAAGATTACTGAGATTAATAATGGCTGTTACAAAATAATAATTCAGTAGAATCTGAGAGTGTATTTGCTCAATCCTAATGAGAAAAAAAGAATAGCCATTAGGTAAATTAAGGAACAACTTCCTTTTATGATAAATGTAATGAATGGTGTATTGTATAGTTCTTTGATTTTTTTTCAGTGACTGTAGAGACTGGTACCACAAGAGACAGCTCCATCTGCAGCTGGAAGATTATTTATTAGCAAATCTAGCTAGCATAGTAATGTACTGTTAAATTTTATGGATGCAACAATTTAAAGAAATACTTCTATTAAGTTATTATTGGAGTACTGATCCCAATATGACTGTATTATAAGACAGATTTCTTCATACACAGATATCTACAAGAGGTGGGTTATACAGATACAATTCTAGATGTGAAATCTAAACGAGTGCGAGCTTTGTTGGGCTTTTCAAGTGATGTCACTGACAGGGAAGATGACAAAAATCAGGACTCAGTTATAAATGGCACAGAGGCTGAAGTTAAAGAAACAGCAATGATTGGGTAAGTATTTTGTCTGGAAAGTGTTTTAACTGTAATGTGGTTCTTATATATTTTTGATTTGTGGGTGATACTTGTGATATTGGTACTTTTAGAAACTGAGCAGAAGCAACTATAATAAAGCTTAATAAAAGAAAAATTCGGTAGAGAGGAACATACAGGATTTAGAGCTATTTATGATTATATGTAGAACTTTTCTACCTAAAATATTTTCATATGCTTGAAACTTACAAATTTAATAAAGATTTAATATTTTGAAGTTATTTATTCTTAGGACTTCATTAAAGATCTTATTTAGAAATTCAGTTTGAAACAATAAGAATGAAATTCTTTCTTGGAGACCCAGAATTCACATATTCCTTAAATTTCTTAGGAATAAAACCTTTCCTTAACCATTTTTGTTATCTACTAATGCTGTAACTTACCTTTTCTTTGAAAATATCTGTTTTTAGTATTTACTTTCGATAGAATAAGTGAAAAATTCAATAGCTATTTGAATATTCTATTTTGCATTTTGGGTTATGTATCATGTAGATTATATGTAATTCTGCTCTAAATGTACATGAACATTTAAATGAGATTCTTTATTTAAAAATAAATAGCTTGATTTTTAAGGATATTAAAAATCAAAGGCTCTGTGAAATTATAAATAGGTTCTTTTGCTGCATATTTAGGTGGAAAGGAGGTTTTTTTTTAAATAATAGTTTATTTTTACATTATTTTGTGCCTTTTTCCTTCTCAGTTTTAATCCCTGTGGGCTTTCCATCACCAAATCACCTGTGTGCCATCACCACAGTCCAGTGCATTTCCTCGGGAAGGAGATTTTTTTTTTTTATAAGTTTATTTTTACATCATTTTGTACTTTTTTTTTTTTTCATCTCAAATTGTAATCCCCACGGGTTTCCCATCACCAAGTAACCCGTGTGCCATTACCATAGTGGGAAGGAGGGTTTTTAATAAGCTTTTATATCAATTACATTTTTACTTAAAAAGCTATTATAAAGACTTTCAGAAAAGACTACTCCAGTTATCTTGTATATTGGTTTTGATTTGTCTTTTAACATTGAGCAAAGGTATTCTGTCTGGTTGTGTAGGAATGGACAGTATAGTGTAAGCAAGCAAAATTATAGCTCTCAGCAGATTTAGAATTTAAGATTTATCTTTTTTAAAATTTTGCCCATAATCATGGCTAAGTTTTTTCAGGAAAAATGTCATCTTACCTAAAATATTTCCTTATTAACTGGAGAGAAATCATCTGTTTTGGTCATTAGGACACTATTACTAAGTTTATTTTGAGGACACTAAGTTCAAGTCATATATTTGAATTCAGAAAGTTGGTGGCATACTCAGTAGCATGATCATATTAATTTAATTTTTTTTAGTAACTGTTATGTATACATTTGCTTTTTTTCAAATCTAGCTGTTTAATAGAAATAAAATTGCATCAAAGGAAAAAAATCATATTCTAGTTATTTTCTCAGTTGTGCAAACTTCTGTTAGAAGAGTTGCAGAGAGGGAAATGGAGGCAGAAATATCTTCAGAGAAATACAATAAGATTAATTAGAAGAGGAAATTCTTTAGATTATCATTAATCTATTTTTAAGAGAAAACTGTGATATATTGTTTTTCCAGTTAAAATCCATGGAAGTGTTATGGGTAAGAGTCAATGTAGATCATGATGATTTGAGAAGTCAGAGTTAAATTTTAAATAGTAGCACACCATATGGATTAGTTTCTTACACTGAATTTTTATAAATTAACTGAACAAAATTGTAAATGTTTTAAACCAGAAAATCCGAGTTAACAGATTCTGCCGCCGTGCTGGATAATTTCAAATTCCTTGAAACGGCAGCTGCAGATTTCAGTGATGAAGATGAAGATGATGACATTGATGGAAGAGAGAAAAGCATTATTGATACTTCAACAGTGAGTTGGATAACTCTGATATAAATATTTTTAGGGACCATTTAGGCATATTTTCCAAATAACCTATCTTGTTCAATCTAAACATTTAACTTTTCCTCATGAATTTGGGAAAATTGCAGACCCGTTATGGTACTTGATGTTGACTGGCATCAAGTTGAGTTGATGTAATTTTTGTCTTTGTCTTCAGGGCTGTTTTGGTAGACAGGTTTTACATCCTTTCAGAACTCTTCCAGCTTATTTATAGCTCCATGAGTTTATTGACTTTACCAGGAGTTTTTCCCCAGGATGAGAAATGTCTCTAAATAGCTTTCTTCTTTCTCTTCCTTCTCCTTTTTATCCACTTTTATCTTTTATCTTCCCTTTCCTGTTCCTTCTTTTCTTTTTCTTCTGTCACTAATTATCTGTGCTTCTTAATCCTCTGGCTTTTAGTCTTTCAGTTTGAAAAATATGGATTACGATAAATATCCATCTTATCTCCTGAGGATTTTCTGAGGAGTGAATGAGACATTATATGTGAATTTATATTTTTAACTATGAAGTACTTTCTAAAAGTGTTAACTTCTCTGTTCCTATTATTCCTTCTGCTTCCATCAAACATGATCCACTTACTGCTCCCAAACTCTTGTTTCCATGGACAATATTTAGTAGTACTTGGCTATTATGTCTCTGTATAGATATTATTTGAACTTAAAGTAGTTGACCCAGTTTTACTTAACCCAAACATATAGTAATAGGCATTTACTTAATGTAATAAAAGAAAATGCTCAAAATTGAGTGATACATTTGTGGTAGTTATTTGGAAATTTTATACTGCCTTGTGATTTCTGTGGGGCGATGGCATTGAGATACTATTTTCACATGAAAATGCTATAATCATACCTTAGTGATAAATAACTAATTTTGATGCTTCATATTTCTTTGTAAGTCATTATATTTTATATACTAAAAACATATACAATTACTACTTATGGTCTTGCTAGAAATTCCTACACATAAACTGGTTTCATTTTAAGTAATCAAGTTCATACATAGCCTTTCTTCCAGTTAGTGCAGTTTGTGAGCAAGAAATGAAAGGACAGTTACTATACTTTATCCCATTTGAACACTGGTCTCAAAAACTTTGTTTTTAAGGAAAGAATGTTTCTAAACAAATAACTGGTTTCTTTTTAAAAGCTTTGCTAATGTTTATTATATGGTACATTAATTTGTATAGTTGCATTGTAATAACTACATGCCAAAAGGTCTAAAAACCTGACTCTTTGTAGCAATGGAAAGCGTGATTTTGAAGTTTTATTTTATGCTAAACATAGCAAAGGGCTGAAGATTATCCTATTAAAATGTATAAAAGATTTTTTAATGTTACTGTATTTCTTTAACCAAAATAGTTTAATAGATTAAACTAAGAATTTTAGTAAAAGATCTGTATGTTTTCACTATTAAATATCCATATGTGTTGTTCTTTACTGTTTATACTGAAGTTTTACTGTTCATAGAATTACATTCTTGGTCATTTTACTCTACCTTCTTTTTCCTTAGGATTCTCTTGACCTCATTATCTCCTAATTTCATATTTATCTGCTTTCTCATCATCATGTAATTAGTTAAGTATAGTAACCATCTGATACTGGAGGTAACCAAAATGAAAGATAGTTCATAACTAATATTGACATGTAGCTCTCAAAAATCATCTGTCTATACATGAAACTCTTAAGTGTCAGTCCTCCAGCTAGATTTGTGATTTCAGAGATAATCCTAAATACATAAAAATGAGGCATAATGGCTTTTATCAAATTTGCATTTAAATCTAAGTCAAATCTCACTTTAAAAGATAATGTTTTAGGGAAATTTTAATTTATAGAGTATTGGAGAAAATTGATGCAAGATTAGGATTGAAATCTGGAAAGGCTTTGAAGCATGGATTTCTGACTTTGTGTGTTTATGTTTTTCAGTTTTGTAAGGAAATAATGTACAGTTAAAGCTTATCATAATAGATTTCTTCTTTTGGTTAAATTAGAATGTCTGCAAACTGCACAGAGTGTATCCAAAAAAGTAAGGCCTGAGTATGGTTCACTTAATACATTTTGTTGAGATATTTTCATCTAGTGGTAATTTAAATACATGCATTATTTTCCTAGTGTTTTTAGTATGTGACTCCTTTCATTTATTTAAAACAAAAAAAGTTATTGAAAAAAAAATGAAATCACTGCTTTACAATATACGCCATATGTATATTGTATTTTCAATATATTTGTATTTCCCACTGAATTGGTTAGGTATGAAGATCATATCTCAGTAGAGATATCCATTCTAAAGTACATAAGGTGTTTGCTTAGTGGTAATGGAATACTGTTTCCTTTAAGTTAATTCCATAATGTATCCTAATGTTTACTTGAACATGTGTTGTTGTCGTTTTTTTTTTTTCCATTAGATTGTTAGGAAGAAAGCATTGCCTGAGAGCAGTGAAGATCGAGATACAAAAGAAGCTCTAAAAGAGTTTGACTTCTTGGTTACACCAGAGGAGGGAGACAGTGAATCTAGAAGTGCAGGTGATGGAACAGACTGGGGTAAGGAAAGATATTGGATCCAGCCAGAGGTGTGATGTAAATAAAGGGAATTAATGTTTTACTTCAAGGGCAACATCTTGAAGAACACTAGAATCTTAAAATGTTTAAATGTTGAACATCTTATGTACTTTTTATTGCTTTTAACTTTTATCTGGGGTGTGTGAGTGTGGTTGTTTTGTTCATCTGTATCTATGTATGACTAAATGAGCTCTTTTATTAATTCCCATACTAGTAATAGCTACATACAGTGTGCATTTGTTTAAAGAAGGTTGTACAATTAGTTATATCTTTTTTTTTTTTTTTAAAGATTTATTTATTTATTAGTACGGAACTGGGTACAGGTCAGAGATGCAGAGGGTGAGAGGATTCACCAGAGACAGAGTGGGGTGCAGAACAGGCAGATCCACGAAGTACACTGCTGAGGGGAGCAGCGGGCGGGTCAGGAGAGGTCTGCCACGCCATGTGGTCACCTCCGGGGCAGGCGGGAATCGAACTCATGCGGAAGTGGCTTTAGCTTCTTAGTGCTGTGCTTTAACCCGCTGCGCCACCAGGGAGGGCCCTATATATATTTTTTTTAATATGAGCAATACACTGTGAAAATAACTTGAATTTTAGTTGTTTTTCCTACTTCGATAGAACTAAAAAACCTAGATTTTGTGCACATTAGTATGAGAATGTAACAAGGGCTTATAGAGATTTTATTTCTGGTATCTTGAGGAAAGAAGTATATATTGAAAAGTTGTTAGATAATTCATTCTGGTCAGATTTACACAATGCATAGAATTTTTGCATAAATTGTTCTAGATATATTTAATGTTTTAAACATCTAATAGGAGTCAAAGCAGGTGTTTTAGAAAAACTTTTACAGTGTAACTAGGAATTTGGAAAGGAATTCTCTCAGTAAATGAGATAGTATTGTGATAAATATTTCAAAATTGATAAATTTTTGATCAGCTGAGCAATTTCAGTATATGTATAGAAGAGAGAGAGGCAAGAGAAAGATAGATAGATGGATATTAAGAATGTTACAAAATTATTGCTTGCGGTTGAGGAATTCTAGGATTCCTTAGCTTCTACGTTGTGTACTTTAAAGAGAGATAAGGTCAGAGAACCAGTAACAGTATTAATTTTTCCTTAGGGCTTTCCTTTGTTGCTAGTTAAATACATGTTGACTTTTAAATTCTGAATATTTTATATATTTAGAAAAATGGTTGAAGTTACTTTTTCATACTCATAATTTTTTGTCTTATTACATGGTTCATTTCTGCCAATGACTTAAGGTAGTTTTCTACTTGCCGATTTTATTCAATCATAAAATAAAATTTTAAGGGTATTTTATCTTTGGTTTTGAAATTTTCCTTTTAATGTGTCCTATACATTTATTTTTATATGAAACAAGATTGCATAGTTAGTTTAGGGAGCTAATTTTGCACAAAACTAGGGGAGAAGGTAAGTTGAAAGATCTTTGTTTCTTTTTACTTCTTCTGATATATTAACTGCTTGTCTCATGCTCTTTACTTAGAAGATCAAAGTCACATCTCATTCAGATATATTTAGAGGAATAAGTAATTTTTTTAAAAAGATTTATTTATTTCTTTGTACAAGAACTGACCCCAGGCCAGAGGTGAGGGGGTGAGAGGATTCACCAGGTAAGAGTGGGGAATAGAACAGATGGATTGAGTAAAATACACTGCCAAGGGGAGCAGCATGTGAGACTGGAGAGGTCTGCTGCACCTTGTGGGTCACCTCTCTGGCTGGGGGTTGAACTTGTATGCAGGGGCTCAGATAGCTTCATGTGTTGTGCTTTAACCCATTGCACAACCAAGGAAGGCCCAGTGGAGTAAGGAATATTTTGCTCCGAGGTAGAGGGAATGAACATTATTTTCACTTTTATTAATGCAGCGTGTACTTTGCATTTTAGATCTATATAAGTTTTGAAGTACCCACACATGGGGGTTAATATGAAAAACAGTCTTTCATGGACTTATTAAATAGTGTCTTAGGAGAAGGACTTATAAGTTAACCCTTTTGGAAAATAGCTCTTTTATAGTTAACATTTAAAAATGATAAAATTTGGTGATGTGATTTACTTCCTAAGGATTATGTATTGGCGTAAAGGTAAGGCAAAAGATAAGTATATGTAGAAAGTTAGATAATTTCCATTACTCTATTTTGCAAGTCTCTAGTTTTACATCTAGAATAGTGTGTAATGTTCTCACAGCTTTCATTGAGACCTTATAATATACTGATTGCTAATCAATAAATTAGAAAATATATGTTTCATGGAATAGAAACCTTAGCTAAAAAATACTGAAGTGTTAATGAAAAGACAAAAAAAATTGCCATTAAAATGATCTAATTTCTACTTAGATATTGATCCCTTTAGCCAACTTTTGAGAATTTAACTAAAAATTTTACTGAACAGTACTTTAGAAGAATCTTCTTTAAAAAAGTTGCTGTTAAGGGGTTCTCCCTGGTGGCACAACATGCTAAAACACCACAGTACAAAGGTCTCTGAAGCAACTGAAGCAAGAGTTGGATGCCTGGCCAGGGAGCTGACCCACATGGCATGGCACACCTCTCCTGACCTACCTGATGCTCCCCTCCGCAGTGTATTTCAGTAGATCTGCCTGTTCTGCTCCCCACTTTGTCTCTGGTCAATCTTCTCACCCACTACACCGCTGGCCTGTATGCCAGTTCTGTAAGAATAAATAAATCTTAAAAAAAAAAAAAAAAGAAAGTTGCTGTTAAAAGCAGATTTAGAAAAGTAAAATGTAAGACCAGAATGCTCGCATTTTCATGCCCGTGAAATACTTTCAGTTTTCCTATTTAACTCAATAGTAAAGTATTAAAAAAAAGTTTTTGTTAGAGGCTTAGAAATAATGATATATTACGAATTTCTCATCTACTTTAGGTAGCTACTTTAAATACAGATTGCACTTATACATACTTAAATACATATTTATAAATACAGATTCAAGACACATGTAAATTTAGATTCAAGAACTACAGCTGCTACTGAATAATAAATAAGTTATAATGTAAACTTCAGTAGTTTAGGGGATATAAATAAGTTTTAAAAATTAGATATATACATGAAAGATATTGATTAGGATGTTTTAACACTTAAAATACATAGCTGTTTTTGTACATGTACAACTGCTATATAAGTACTCTTAAGTTTATATTTAAATTTTTGTGAAATTATATAGGAGAGACTTAGGGTTTGTGTTGCTTTTTATCCATTGAAGCTCAAAATCATTTTTGTAGATTGGTAGGCCTAATGGCTTCAAGTTTGGGCAGGTGTTGAAGGAAGCTAATCTACTTGATGTAATTTTAAGCATATCTTTATGAAACCTTCCACTAAGTTTTCTTAAAAGATGAACCAGTGGTTTCTTATTTGAAATACATGTTCATTTAAGTTAACACTTTGTTCATAAAGAAAAAAATAGCCACAAATGTGATATAAAATTGTTTGGTAAAACTGTTATTATTAAGTAAGTATGTAACACCATCAATTTTTCATCTAATTTATTCAAGCAGCTATTTTAAATACAGATTGCAATATACCTTCAAAACTAGAATACAGACCTTAACAACTAGAATACGGGTATTACCCATGCCCATGTTTTATGTAAGCATAATATTTAATTGCTTAAAATGAATAAATTTTTACATTCTTAATTTCAAACATTACAAATGGTGATTTAAACCCTGATTTTGATATATATTTCCTTTAAAGAAATTATAAAAAATTCTAAACCCAAAGGGGAAAAATTAATATATTTTTCTTTTTCTTAGTTGTGATAAAGATACTCAGATGTTTCTTTTTCTTTTTTTCTGGAGGTTACTTCCCTTTATTTTTTCTTTTAATATTTATTTATATATATGTTTTACATCTGCTCATTTCTGTACAGTGCATACTTCTCAGGTGTAGTCCCTGTAAAATTTCCCATCACCAATTCACCCATGAATCATCACCATAGTCCCTTGTGCTCTTCCCTCCCTGTTTTGATTCCTCTGCCTCCCCCTCCCTGGCAGAATGTCTCTGATTTATAGTTGCCTGCTATAAATAAATAACTTTATTTATTTATTATTATTGTTACATTTTTTTCCTGACCCCATATTTGGTTCTCCTACACTCCTCCTATAAGTGAAACCATCTGATATTTTTCTTACTCCGTCTGGCTTATTTCACTGAGCATCATCCCTTCTAGATACATGTTGCTTTGAATGGCATGAATTTACCTTTGGATTGCTGAATAGTATTCCATTATGTTATATACCATATCTTATTGATACATTCATCTGTTTTTGGTCATTTGGGTGGTTTCCATATGTAACCTATTGTAAATAGTGCTGCAATCAACAAGGTTGCAGGTATCCTTTTGAATTAATGTTTTTGTGTACTTTGGGTATATGGTATCTCCATTTTTATTGAGCCTTTTCTTCCTTTGCGCTCATTTGATGACTCTCAAGGGTAAATTGGGGGTAAATTTTGCATAATGTATTTCATAAACAAATTTTTTGGTACCCTTTTCTTCCACTACATGATGAAAATGTTTTGTGATCAATTCATAGAAATATCTTTGTAAATTGTGAGCAGTCATAGTAACTCAAGGTCTAGAAAAGACGGTATGTTAATGTTGCTGACTTTTCCTCTTTGCATTCAAGGTAGACTTAAATTTTCCTTACTTAGAAAAACCATTTCTAATGGGCAATTGTTAAAATTTTCTAGTGACTCTTTTTGCTAAAGTGCTAATTATTTGTGTAACTTTTATTGCTTTTCTTGGAATTTTCCCATGTGTAGGAAACTGATTATACTTTTGAGCCCAACTGGTCTTTCAAAGCTCTCACTTGAAAATACTTTCTAGGCTTATTTGGTAGGTTCCTTTGCCCCAGAATCATTAAATGACCTTATATTGTGGTAACATTGACAGTCATAATTTATAACCATAGCACACAATGACTTTTTCATCTGTCTTTACAAATTTTTCTTAAATTTTATAAATTTGGGGCCCTTCCTGGTGGTGCAATGGTTAAAGCATAGTGTGATGAAGCTAGCCACAGCCACTTCAACGTGAGTTAAATCGCCAGCCAGGGAGGTGACCCACCTGGTATGGCAAACCATTCCTGTCTCGCCTACTGCTCCCCTTAGCAGTATATGTCAATAGATCTGCCTGTTCTGCTCCCCACTCTGTCTCTGGTGACTCCTCTCACTGCCTCTATAGCTCTGGCCTGTACCCCAGTTCTCTATACATAAATAAGTCTTTTAAAAAATTTTTTTTATAAATTCGGCATTTGTGTAATTTAGTTAACTCCTTAAGAGCTTACCTTTAGGGACTTTGTGATTTAGCTAATGCTATATTACTTTTCCTTTTTGTGGCAAATATTTGAAGAATTATTTGAAATAATTACTTAGTCATTGAAGAATATCGTGGATATTTATTGACTTAAATTTTTACAACAGAACAAAGTTTGGAAAACAAGAGGAAGTTAAAATGAAACGCCTCTCTCCCATCTTACACTCTTACAGAGAGCATATGACAAACTACTCAGAGATTTTAGTCAGCAATTCCACAGTGTAACTAGATCTACTGTATCTAAAGGTATTTTCCTGAGAAGTCACTCATCTACACACATAGTAGTTAAATCATTTCATTGCCAATTTTACTGAAGGGTGAGTAGCATTACCTTTCCTCCAAAAATAGCTGCATTGTCCCTGTTTTAATTTTGTTTTAATGTTTGAGACATGGTCCAGAGTATTATATGATATGTGTAAATATTTTAACATAACCTGTGAAATTATGAACACATAAGTGCTTATTCACACATCTGAACTGTATCATTTTTTTAGTAATGTCCTGGATAGTTGTTTATAAGTAAATGGAATTTTTCAGTTGACCAGAGGTTTGACCTTAACGTGTTTTAAGGATTTCCTAATTCATATTCAAGGTAATTCTCTTCTAACCAACAAAAAATTTAATAAATTCTCTTTTTTTGAATGGACATTTAAACTATTTTAAGTGCTTCATACCTCTCCCACCCCTTAAAGGAGAATGAATATGCTTAGGTTAACAGTTTCATTAGTTTCTGGCAAGTAAATAGATTTTTACTTATATCTTTCATTACTGTTATTTTATGAGTATAGTTAAGATTATAATAAGACTAAAGTTTTACCTGAAAAAACTGAAGACACTTTAGGATCTAGGATCCAAAAGCAACCCAGGTTAATTTCTCATTTAGACCTGATTAATGAAAATCAGCATTTTTAATTATTAGATCTTTCTGCAAAATAGATTATCTCTGCTGTTGACAGATTATAGTTTATACATTTTTTAAAGTTGGGTTAGTATATTCAGAGGCCAAATAATTTTTTTAAACTGAATTGGAACTTGTGACATATAGGCAGATTTCTGCTTATTCTGGTTCATTTCCATTTATTACAAACATTTCAGAAAAGATTGACCAAGTGCCTTTTATGTACTAAGTATTTTATGCAGAGTCCTATCCCTAAGGTCCATACAGCCTGCTGCATGGATTTGGGCAATAAGTTGTAAACATTGTCAAGGAGATAGTATGTCAGAAAGTGACAAATATTATGAAAAACAGAAAAGGTAGAACAGAGTAAGAGAGAGTCCTGGAGCCCATGGGGAGGATAGAGGTTACAATTTAAAATAAGGTGGCCATGGTAAGTCCCATTCAGAAATTAATATTTGAGCAAAAGGCTTGAGGTTGGTGAGGTTTTTAGCCATATAAACCTCAGGGGAAGGAGTGTTGAGGAAAAAAGCCAGAGCAAATGTTCTAACAATACCATCAAGTATGTTTGAGGAATTAAGGAAGCCAAAGTGATTATATGAGGCTGGAGCAGAAAAATTAAAAGCAACATAGAAATAAATGACCAAATCATTGGGTCACATAGCTTATTAGGAAGGTGGGTAGACAAAAGGGATTTGAACAGAAGGTTGACATGATCTGACTATTTTAAAGCATCATTTTAGCTGTTATGTTGAGAATAGATTACCCAGAGCAACCAGTGTTAATAATAGACTTATGGGGGAGAGGGGAATATTATTGCAGTGATTCTAGCAAAAGAATGTAGTTAGGGAAGCAGTAAATGTGCTGAGAAGTACAGATTTTATATGAGCTTTGAAGGTAGAAAAGATAGTATACCTAAAATATTTGATGTGGGTTGTAAAAGAAAAGTTTTGACCTGAACAAATGAAAGATGAAATTGCCATCATGAGATGGGGAACCCTGTAGATAAAACAAATTGGATGGAAGAGATTGGCTTAGTATGTTTGGTTTAAGATATCTACTCGATTTCCTAATGAAAATATAAAGTGAGTAGTTAGATATGAGAGTTCAAGTGAGAGTTCTGAGATAAAACATTATGTAGTTATAAATTGTTATACAGTAAGTCTGCAACATAATATTTACTCTTTAAATTATTTTCTCTTGACTCATTGAAAACTGATTATTGAAATTTTTTACTAGAAGTCAAATTTTAATTTAAGAATTTATGAACTAATGCCATGTAAATTGCTTTTAATTTATTAAAAGATTTATTTTATTTATTTATGCATATAAAAGGTGGGGTAAAGTCCAGAGTTTGGGGGTGTGTGTGAAAATATTCACCAGAGACAAGAGTGGGGAGCAGAACAGGCAGACCTATTTGAAATACACTGCTGAGGGTAACAGACGAGACAGAAGAGGTCTGTTGCACTAAATGGGTTAACTCCCTGGTGGGGCTTGAACTTGTGTGCACTGGCTACAGATAGCTTCATAATGCTGAGACTTAATCCTTTGTGCCACTAGGGAGGCCCTGCTTTTAATTTTGAATGAAGCCTTGATGGAGAGGTTTGCAATCTGATATTCATGAGACCTATAAAATAAAGTGGTCATCTTTTTAAGTACACATGCCAAATACAAAGTTTTTGAAATGAAGATTATTAAGAACTGTTTTATATAATCTCTTAGTAGTGACTTCCTTTCATGACATAAACTAACACGTGTGTGTGTCAATTGAATTTAGAAAATGGCATAAAAATAAGGGTTCTTGATTACAGAGTTTTGGGACTTTGTTTTCCTCAAAGTCACATCTTCCAGGTTTTTTTTTTTTTTTAATAACAGTTTATTGGTATTTATATTTTCAGGTTTTTTTTTTATTAAGAGAAATGTAATTTTAATCATTGTCTGTTAGCTATTTATATTATGTGGCATATCTTTAGTGAATAAGCTATGTTTTTAAGATAATATGAAGAAGATAATTGTTATGTTATATATTAATTCATATAGCAGTGAATTGACTTAGAGTGTTCAATATTTTATTGAAAAAGGTTGTTTCATTTGTTCCACTCTGTTTAGAAAAGGAAGACCAGTGTCTCATGCCTGAAGCCTGGAATGTGGACCAGGGAGTAATTACCAAACTCAAGGAACAATACAAAAAGGAGAGAAAGGGGAAAAAGGGGGTGAAGAGTAAGTGGAAAACATTGTATCTGTAAATCATAAATCTTGCCTCTTTCACATCCCGTTTTTTCCCAATGTTTTCCTAAACTACTTACTCTTTTTCTTTTTTGCTCCTTACCTTTTTCCTTTTACCTGCTTTCAGGGGTTGAAATTAAACTGCTAGATATTTGAATTTATGAACTTAAAAGAGAGAGAGAGTGAATCCAAAGCCTCATGAAAATGGGGACTGTGTATCCAATCTTAGCGAGTTTGATTTTTAAAAGTATATATGCTTAATTGAGACAGTGGTTTTCCATTCTTGACAATTTAAATTCTAATCTAGTGTGACCATCTGATAGTCCACCAAAATTACTGTTTGTAATTTTAGACCTGGGAGACAGAAAGTTAATTTCTACCCCTGAATAGTCTTTGTGTTCGTAATACACAATTTATTTGCTGTCACCACTATATGCTATGCAGGGCACAAAGCCAAATACGCAACTTTTAAAAGTATTTTTTAATTTAGAAATTTTGCAAATTTCATTGCTGATAATATTACCAATTAGCTTTTTTCTTTCTAATAAAATGAGTACCACGTAAAACAGAAATAAATGAAATTTCTAGCCCTGTGAATCATATATACATATAAAATCTCATCCATTATGCAAATTATTAATAACATTTAACGATAAGTTAGGTATGGGGTAAGTTAAAGTCTATTTAAGAATGTAAAATGGAAACACAAAAGTCTTCAAACATCGTTAAAAACTGTCTTACATGTCCTTTTAGGAGAGCAATGTTGTACTACCTCCTTGTGTTTCTATTTTCATTGACAGTTTGAACATAGACCTTCCTTTTATGACCATAGGAACTTCATTCTTTGTGATATTGAAGAAGTATAAAGTGAAATGAAAGTCCAACTTAGTGAGACCTGTTGGAAAAGTTGCAAAAGATTATTCTCACCCTATGTTTATAATGATGCTAGGCTCATCAAAGACTAGTCATTCCTGTTGAGAAATTCTTTTACAGTTATCAATGTTTATAAACATTAAATCTTTATTTTAAATATCTTAGAATTTACAAGTATTCAGCTTGAATTTATAAAAAAGTCAGGGACTATGCTGCTGTCATTTAACTATCCACTACATAAGTGAGAGATAATATTTGATGCCCTCTCAATATAAATTAAATCACAATAAGAAAGATGAATATTAAAACAAGAATATACCTTTTTTCAAATATGCCAATTAAAAAATGAATCCTAAAAATAGATTTTTGAGGAAAATTTATATGTAATATATGAGAAACAAGGAGATATTTTATTACTAGATTAACTTAAAGTTGATGTATTTCTTTAGGTCACTATGCTACAATAATGAATGTCTTGAAAAGTATAAGATCTTTCAGTTGGAAAGGTCTCCAGAACTTTTGCAGAATTTATCTGCTGTTATATTGATTATTCAAATCTTGTTAGCTATAAAGGCATTACAGTAGTTGAATCTTAGCATCTAAAGTCTAAAACTGTACCATTTGACTGGAACAGTATTCCTACTAACAGGAGCTATTAGATTCATGAATCTGTGAATTATGATCACTATTCAGGCAAAACAGCAACAAAAAATGAACACAGTATTTTTTTAATGTGGTGAAGAAAAACTACTCAATTTTTAATGTCTTTCATTGAAGATTAAAAAACTATACACTGTGGTTCAAACACATTTTGTTTATCTTGATAAAATAAGTCTGGGAACAAATGAAGACTTGTGATAAAAACAGAATTGAAAGAAAGACTTATAATTAAAATAACACTTATGATTAAGCAGAGAATGAAGTATTAATTTATAAGTCACCAAAAGCATATTTTTTATTGAGCTGTTACTCTTTGGGAAAGTTTGAGTCTTTTAATATAGACTAATAGAAATACTTCCAGTCAAATTGTACACTCCAATTACACTGCCTTGAAATATAATTCTAGGTATTAGTTTAAATTGCTTAAAAATAGTTGTATTCTTTGCTGGTATAGGAAAAAACCATAACAGACTATGGGTAAGATTTTCCCATTCTTAATTAAACTTATAACAGGAAAAACTACCGAAGATCTGTTTCAGCCTCTATCCTATATAAAACAGTCAAAACAGGGATGTGGGAGAATGAAGAATCAAAGTTCAGGTAAGTAATCAGCAGGGCATGAGACTTCACCTTGGGTACCATAGCTTCAGAAAGTAAGGCAGTAAATACAAGTTAATTTAAACAAATAAAAGGAAATGTTATTGTTTATTCAATACACAGTAACTTGGCAATCTTTCATATCCGTCTGCAATTAGAGCAACCTGCAAGGATATAGAATAGTAATAACAGTGGTTCACATGCACATAGCATTCTTTTTTCTTGCAAATAGTGATGTTATTTCATTAGCAAGTAAAAATATATAAAATGATTCTTTTCAAGAAGTAATATGTTTTTAAAATATTTTGAAAACTTAGAAAATACTTTTAACATAGTAGGTAGTTTTAAAAGTAATTATTGGCAGATTTGAAAAGGCTTATGGCAACCTTTTGTTGCAATTGACTAACTATTTCCTCTTTTTGTTCCCTCCCCTTTTTTGGGCTAGGGCCCAATAGGTCAAAACTACAAGATATGCTCGCTAATTTGAGAGATGTTGATGAACTGCCCTCATTGCAGCCATCTGTGGGTTCACCTTCCAGACCTAGCAGCTCCAGACTTCCTGAACATGAAATAAATAGGGCAGATGAAGGTAAGTATTTAAGTCAGTATAGTGCACAAAAAGCACTTGGTTATACATATTTAAATTTAGTTATTAGAGAGAACTCTAAAATAAGGATTTAATTCTGAAAAATTTATAACATTACAACCACAATGTAGAATAATTCTGTTTTATTTACTTAACAGAAACATCAAAAAAATAACTTTCATGGTTATAATTTTAAGATTATATATTATAATTTAAACTTTATGCTTAACATTCTGCTTTTGGATACTTTTTTTTATGTAAGTACTTGTGTTATAGAAATATTGTCCTTTAAATAAAAGTTCTACTATATCTATAAATGTATAAAGTGGGCCCTCCCTGGTGGCACAGTGTGTTGGAGCACTTCACTGCGGAGCTAAGCCAAGCCCTGGCCACTTCAGTGTGAGTTTGATCCTGCCCAGAGGTGACCCACATGGTGCAGCAGACCTCTCCTGACCTGCCCACTGCTCCCCTCAGCATGTAATTTGTTGATTTGCCTGTTTTGCTCCCCACTCTGATTTTGGTGAATCATCTTGCCACCCCTGTAACTCTGGCGTGGACCAGAGGTATTTATGTATGCATAAATAAATAAAATCTTTTAAAAAAATGTGAAAAGTGCTTGTATTTGTAAATTAATTTTAAGCTGGGGCCCTCGCTGGTGGCACAGCTGGTTAAAGCACAGCACTAAGAAGCTAAAGCCACTTCAGCATGAGTTCGATTCCTGCCTGCCCTGGAGGTGATCACATGGCGGGGCAGACCTCTCCTGACCCGCCTGCTGCTCCCCTCAGCAGTGTACTTTGTCAGTCTGCCAGTTCTGCTCCCCACTCTGTCTCTGGTGAAGCCTCTCACTGCCCCTGAGCCTCTGGCCTGTACCCCAGTACAGACAGATCGACGAAGTACACTGCTGAGGGGAGCAGTGGGAGGGTCAGGAGAGGTCTGCCCCGCCATGTGGTCACCTCCAGGGCAGGCGGGGATGATCGAAGTGGCTTTAGCTTCTTAGTGCTGTGCTTTAACCCTCTGCGCCACCAGGGAAGGCCTAGCTTTACATTTTACTTGATGTAGAAGTGACTTTTGAGGCCATGTGCTTCTATGGGTGGGTATGTTGTTCACTAGATTTATTCACTTGACACTTAGGTGTGAGACTTTAATCAGTTAAATTGATTCTATGATCAAATCCTAGATAAAAAGAAAAGTTTCTTTTTAATCATATTCTACCAACTCCAATAGAGTTTTCTGAGCTATTATGTAGAATCTAATAATAGATACAGAATATGTACTATTTACATAATGACAAATGTTTAAAAACATTACACAAGCTATAGAAAGTACTCTTGGTAAAAGAGTTATTTAAGACTTAACATAAACTATCTAACATAACTGCCTATAACATTGGTCTTAAAACTTAACCTCCCAGGTAGGGTTTTCAGAAATAGAAAAAAAATTTAAGAAATATATTGTATATATTTAAAGCTTTATTCATTTATGCATAGAGAACTGGGGTACTGGCCAGGGGTGCGAGGGGTGAGAGGATTCACCAGAGACAGAGTGGGGAGCAAAACAGGCAGATGTACTGAAATACACTGCTGAGGGGAATAGTGGATGTGTTAGGAGAGGTGTGCTATACCATGTAGGTCAGCTCCTTGCCAGGGATTGAACTTGCGCTGCAATGGCTGTGATACCTTCATAGTGCTGTGCTTCAACCTGTTACACCACTAGGGAGGGCCCTATCTTGTATATTTATAATTGCCTGTTACTGGTGCTTCCTTGTCTCCAGTCCAGTTACAGAAAATGCTCCCATAGCCTCTGTGTGCTAAATATATTTGTTAATTTAATTTTTAAAAAAATTTTAATACTTCACAAGACATTGCTGTGTTTAAGAGGCACCATTAGATAATGGTGGAAAAATTGATTAAAACTAGTAATGTTTAGATACTGGAGAGAAAGATGACTTACAGTCTTTAAGTTCTAAGGAACTTGGAGAACATTCAAATAATAGCCATGCTCATTAAGCATGTCACCCTCTCCATAGCCCTTACCTGTGGCTTAACTCCAAGGTCGGAGAGTGTGTGTGGAAGTAGGTGTTCTCTTCCTTTGTTTTTAGGTTTTACGTGGCCACTTTCAGAGCATTAGCTAAATTAGTCAAGACATTATTTTTAGTACCATGAATCTTAGTCTTATTTTGAAGTCTTTTTATCTCACACCTGGACAAAATTATATGGAATATTAGAAATGAAAATAAAACAACAAAAAAACTCCTAATGAAAACCTAGCCTACATGTTTCACATACATTGTTGGGTTGGAGATTTGGCTTTTAACAATCTTCAGCAATCCTCACATTATGTTAGCAAATGTTTAGAGTTATTTGAACCTCTCAGAGGATATGTAGTATGTTTGGGTAAAACTCATTTTAAACTATGGTTTAAAAATACCTTTTTCAAAAAAAGATTTGTTTATTTATGCATCAGAACTGGGGTACAGGCCAGAGGTGCAGGGGTGGTGAGAGGACTCACCAGAGACAGTGGGGAACAGAACAGCCAGACTGATGAAGTACACTGCTGAGGGGAGCAGCGGGCGGGTCAGGAGAGGTCTGATGCACCATGTGGGTCACCTCCTCTGCTGGGGATCGAACTTGTATCACAGTGGCTGTGATGGCTTCATAGTGCTGTGCTTTTAGTCTGTTGTGCCACCAGAGAGGGTCCTAATTGTTGACTCTTTAGAGGGTTATTACTATTTTTTAAATTTCTATTTTCTCCCCCACTTCAGTGGAAGCATTGACATTTCCTCCTTCTTCTGGGAAGTCATTCATCATGGGAGCAGACGAAGCCCTTGAAAGTGAACTGGGCCTTGGAGAATTAGCAGGTCTTACAGTGGCCAATGAAGCAGATTCACTAACTTATGATGTGAGTACTAGTTTTATATTTGTTGTTTTTTGCTCATTTTTTTGAAAGCAAAAAGTTAATTTTATAGAAAAGAATGGCAGTGGTAAAATTTCCTCATGAGTTTAGAATTTAGATTAGTTTTAATTGCAACCTTTGAAAGTAAAAATATATTATAAACAATACTGTATTTTACTTCATGTAGAGATTAAAATGGATTCATGAATCCATGGATCATTATAGTTTGTTCATTGATTTTAATGGAATCACTATTTTTCTCTTCAATTATGGGTAATCTGTATTAAATTTGTCTGTAATTATTTACTCTAGAATTCTTGTTTACAGATTTCTTCTAAGATTTTCAATTTTAAAAGTACAGATCATTGTACTTTAGAACATTGTACTTTTGAACATTGTAAGCATAACTATTTTAAAGATTAAGTTGGACAGTGTAGTTCTCTTAGTGTTATGTTTTGCTTGTTTACATTTAATATTATGCTTCCTTGTAATGGCAAGATTATTTTTTACTATGTTCAAATAACTGTATTTGAAAAGTTGCCCATAGAAGCAATTTGAGCCGAAGGTATCTTCCACCAGAATCTGTATTTAATTTGCTTCTGTCAGATTTCTGCAGCCACTAGAAATCTGGATAATCTCTTTTCATTTTCAGTTTTTGAGGTGATCTAAAACTGATCTACAGTCTCTGCATGGATTTGTTTTCTTTCACTTCACCTTATATAGAATATGCAACCATGATACATCACCATGATACATCACCATAGAACTGTGTGCTCTCCTCTTTCTGATCCCCTTCTCCCTTCCTGTATGCCTCAGATCTGTTGTTAGCCTGGTGTATATATAGTGATCAGTGTTATGTTTTCCTTATGTATTGATCTTTTAATCATTATATAATGTTTACCCTTATCTCTTACTGCTTTTTTACCTATTTTATCTGATATAAGGATGATTCTCCCTGTCTTTTTGTAGCTCCCAGTTGCTTGGAGGGTTCTTTTCTATCCATAGATAGTGATAATAGAATATTGTGTTTTATTTTGACTCAGCCCACCATTGTCTGCCTTTTGATTGATGGGTTAAGTCCATTTACATTTAGAGTGATAATTGGTATTTGAGGTTTTGCAGCTATCATTTTGTCTTTAGTTATCAGGTTCTATCTTTTTCCTTATTTTATTTTCTGTGGATCTTTGGATATGAGTCCTTTCAACATTTCTTGTAGGGGGGGGAGATCTAGTGTTTACTAAGTCTTTTAGCTTCTGTTTGTCTGGAAAGGCATTTATTTCTTCCTCATATCTGGAGTCTTGCAGAATATAGTAATCTTGTCTGGTATTTTTTATCTTTAAGTATATTGAATATATCATTCCATTCTTTCTTAAGTGTTTCTGCCAAGAAGTATCATGTATACCCAATGTGAATAGTTCCATAAGTTATCTGCTTTTCCCCCCACAGCTATTTTTAGTATTCTTACCTTTTCAACTGTGCATCTTGTTGTATTTATGTAACCAAGTGGTCTGTTAGCTTCACAGACAGGTATATTTAATTCCTTACCTATGTGTGTGAAGTTTTCTTGATTATTTCCTTGAATAACCTCCCTATGTCTGTCCTCCCCCCTTCCCTTTCTGTAATAACTATTATTATTATTTTGGCTTTCTTAATGGTGTTGAATATATCTTGAATTGCTTCCTCTTTCCTTGTTTAACCTCTTGTTTTTCTCTCTTCTTCCACATAGTTCCTTAATAGATTACTGTCTTCCAGGTCACTGATTGGATCCTCCTCCTAATCTATTCTACGTCCCTATCTTTCACTAGAGTTCTTCAACTTAGTTATTGTGCTGGATTTCTATTGTATTGAGCTTCAACGTCTGCTTTCTGGTCTTATTTCTGTACTTATTCATTAGTTTTTTCTGAATTGTGTATGTTTTATTAGCTTTTCTAAGTTCTTTTTTATTTCTTTGACTTGACTTTGAGTTTTTATCTCCTTAAATTTCTTTATTATAGCTGTTCTGAACTCTTATAGGGAATTAGATACTGAAGAGTTGTTCTCATCTTGTGATAGTAGACTCTTGAGGTTTTATTTTTCTATTTTTGTATTTTTTGATCTGCCTATTTTACTTCTTGAAGTCTTCCTATTTTATTGTTGTATTATTGTTTTTTCCTATTTTATTGTTTAGAAGCAACTTAAGAAGTTAAAACTATTTTACTTTTCTTATGGCTATGGCTTTTATTTTATTTAGTTTGATCTTTGCTGCAGATCTGTTAAAGTAGTTGCTGAGTCAACAGGATAGGTAAAGACTTGAAGGGATCTAAATGTAGTTCATGTTTGTGGCACCTCTGATGTCCTTTCTTTCTGGGGTATAAGTAATTTGGCAGTACCTGTGCTCTTAGTGTGCGCAACAATATAAGCACCAATCCCAGGGAATAGAAAGGTGTTACTGGGCCCTTCCTGGTGACGCAGCAGGTGAAAGCACAGCACTGAGAAGTTAAAACCACTTCAGCATGAGTTCGATCCCCACCCCGGAGGTGACCACTTGGCACAGCAGACCTCTCCTTACCTGCCCTCAGCAGTGTACTTCATCAGTTGGCCTGTCCTGTTCCCCACTCTGTCTTCTGGTGAATCCTTATCGCCCTACATGTCTGGCCTGTGCCCCAGTTCTGTATGTATAAACAAATAAATCTTTTTTAAATTTTTTCTTAAAAAAAGGAAAAGGTGTTACAAGTCAGAATGTCTGCTTTCTGTTATGTTTACTAGGGACATAGTCTGTGTGGAGTACTGCAGCACCTTCACAAGATTTTCCTTCTTTCAAGGAAGTGTGCCTCCATACAGCCTTTGCTGCCCTTTCCCCAGTGACCCTGGCTAAATTGTCAGTCCTGCCACTCATGTCCCTGCTCTAGAACACAACTCCAGGTTCTCCTCTCCACCCATTTCCTGTTTGATACAGTATAGTCTCCTCAGGGTCTACCCTGTTAAGGTCCGCACGAGTCTCTCCAGTCCACAGGATGATCAGTCCCACTCTTAATACTTGACTGTCTCTCAGAGCAGTGTCCCTCTTGCTTGCTGCGCCATCATCTGCAGCCAATGGGGGGGGAGGGCGGGTCAGCCCTGTTGTTGCCTCTGTTAGGGCCTGTCATGTTTGCACTTCTTAGAAAGGACTATTTCACATCTTGCCATGGCTCATGGGTTGAGCTCCTTTGAGGTCCTTCTCTGGGCTCACTGGAGTATGCTGGGGCCTACTGTGATAGGTCTTAGTGTGATTGATTGCCTTAGAGTATAAGGAGTTCATATATGGTACTAGTGTAAGGCCAAATACTTGTTTTCTCTTCAGCTTCCTTATTAGTTGGAATTAAAAAATAGCGCTTTTTTTTTTCCCCTCCAGTTTCGAGGTGGAGATTCTATGGGGAAGAACATGTTTGTTTTACCAACAGAATATAGATTTTATAATATCTGATTGTCTCTCAATTTTAGCATTTTCAGTTTATAAACTAGTTTACAAATTTGATGATGAAAATTTAGCCCATTAAAAGTATTGAAAAAAGGCCCTTCCTGGTGGCGCAGTGGGTTGAAGCACAGCACTAACAAGCTAAATCCACTTCCGCATGAGTTCAATTCCCGCCTGCATCAGAGGAGACCACATCGCGTGGCAGACCTCTCCTGGCCCACCCGCTGCTCCCCTCAGCAGTGTACTTCCTCGATCTGCCTCTTCTGCTCCCCACTCTGTCTCTGGTGAAGCCTCTCACCGCCCCTGAGCCTCTGGCCTGTACCCCAGTTCTGTATGAATAAATAAACAAATCTTAAAAAAAAAAAAGTATTGAAAAAAATCTCAAAAATATAATTTTCTCTTAACAGGTTTAAAGATGAATTAGTTTTTTTTCTTTTTCTTTTTTTTTTTTGGGGGTGTGTGTGTGAATTAGTTTTTAACTCCTTATGTTTTTTGTACTATAATTTAGGTTGAAATCACTTTTTATCCTCATGAAGATCTATTTTATATTAACGTATTTGATCCTTTTTTATATTGATTTATTATGTTCTCATAATTTTCATAGTTCTTCAAATAAAACCACTGTTGACATATAATTAGTTTTACCTGTTGGGGGCCCTCCCTGGTGGCACAGCAGGTTAAAGTACAACACTGCAAGTGAGCTGCATCTGCATCAGTGTAAGTTTGATCCCTGTCTCTGGAGGTGATTCACATGGTGCAGCAGACCTCTCCTGACCCGCCCACTGCTCCCCTCAACAGTATACTTCATGGAGCTGCCTGTTGTGCTCCTTGCACTGTTTCTGGTGAATCCTTTCACCATCTCTGGACTTTACCCCAGTTCTGTATGTGTAAATAAATAACTTAAAAATTTATTTTTTTACCTGTTGGTTTGATTATCCACACTTAAAAATTATATTGTTTCGAAAATTGGAAAATGTTTAATGACTTTTAAACAGCAATAATATATGTTGATTTTTTTTTTTTTCCCTGTACTGAACTTAACATGTAGGTATCTTTGTCTTGTTTCTTTAATAGATTGCAAACAATAAAGATGCATTAAGGAAGACATGGAACCCTAAGTTTACGTTAAGAAGTCACTTTGATGGTATTCGAGCCCTTGCTTTCCACCCCACTGAACCTGTTTTGATAACAGCATCAGAAGATCACACATTAAAAATGTGGAATTTGCAGAAAACAGCCCCAGCCAAAAAGTAAGAATATTCTATTTTGATTTTTCAGTAGGAAAATATTTACCTTTATTATTTATTATTAAATTCCCCAGATATTTCTTGTAATTATTCATTAGTCACATAAACAAGAGTTTTTAACCTTCATACAATGTATTAGACTGAAAACAGGATATTAAGGATGAAACGGTATTGTTTCATGCTTTCCCAGGGTTTGTGAATGTGGACCTGAACCCTTTTAAACTATTTTAGAGGACTGTCATATTTAGGAGCACTTTATCTTTACTAAAGGTTGGATTTGTCAAGCAAAAGGGAAGAAAGACTGGAAGAGTTGGGGAACTTTTTTGTTCTTGTCTTTTAGCCTTGAATCTTAGGTCTTTCCATTACCTGTCTGAATGTGTAGACTAAAAGGCAATGTCATTGCCATCACTTACCTGCTAATATTTGCCTTACCCTGTGGTTTCTTTTTAAGCATGTGCAGTCATAATTTAGTATGAACCCTCTTAGTCACCAAGCTAGTCCTGATTCTGCGTGGTGGAACCCATGTTGGAGTTCCCCATCTCCTTTCTTCCTTGTGTCACATGGCCCAGAACTCAGCATCTTGTAACAAAGGGTCCTTCTATAGTTTCAGTCACTCTTAAACTACATGAAAGGGTGAGATTTCATAAATATGGCTATGTTAGAGGATATCTGTTGTCCAATTTAAAAGAGATTAGTGACATTCCTACTATTATGTACATAAAATAAATACTTGTGTTATCAATCTCAATTGGATGGTGCAATCAGAGCTTGTAAAACCAAGTGAAATACTTGGATCATGTGTCTTTAGCAAAAAGAAATATTTCCTGGTTATAAAGTATAAAGTGTCTAGTTCTTTAGTCACAGTGGGCATCACATAAGACGAGGCATACTAGAATGGTGATACAAGACAGAGCTGTGGAGGAAGTTATTTGAGAAGAAATAACGTATGCCTGTAGTATAGAAATTGGTAGGTACTTGACTTAAATCAAGCTTCCATTAATAATCTCGGCCAGTATTAGGAACTGTAGTGTACTCTTACATTCAGTGTTCTGAGTAATGAATGAACTGATAACTTGGACAGTTTCTGCAAGTATTAAGCATAGACATATTAATCTTCATGGAGAGGAAAGGAAATTAAAGTGCCATTATTGAAATCTTTTTTTTTTATTAAAAGTTTATTTTTACATCATTTTGCACATTTTTTTTTTCATCTCAATTGTAATCCCCACGGGTGAAATCTTTTTTTTTTTTTTTAAGATTTATTTATTTATTCATACAGAACTGGGGTACAGGCCAGAGATGCGGAGGGTGAGAGGATTCACCAGAATCAGAGTGGGGAGCAGAACAGGCAGATCGAAGTACTCTGCTGAGGGGAGCAGCGGGCGGGTCAGGAGAGGTCTGCCACGCCATGTGGATTCCTCCGGGGCAGGCCGGGATCAAGATTGAACTCATGAGGAAGTGGTTTAAGCTTCTTAGTGCTGCTCTTTAACCCGCTGCGCCACAAGGGAGGGCCCATTGAAATCCTTTTACTTGCATCATTTTGTCCTAGACTGTTTTGCTAATTACAGAATTTTATTTACCTCTGTATCTGGTGTTTTTTTCCTATTTTTCTGTTTTGTTTTACACATAAAAGAATCTGAATTTCTGAGGTTAAATAATTTGCCTAAAGTTAACCAGTTAATGAGAGCGCTGGAAATTGAATCCTGAAATGCATCACTTCAAAGCCTATGATCTTTTTCATAAGTGAAGCTATCTTTCCCTCTGATCAGATAGATTCTGGCAGTGCTAAAAGCACAAGGGAAAAATACTGTTATTGAATAATATTCTTGTTTCTTGAAGCCACAAAAATATGTGGTTGGTGTTAAGTAAGCTTTTTTATGGTATGTTACTATAGTGTTGGTATTCCTAAAGGCAACTTTATGACGTACATTCAGTGATGCTGTTTATTACTGAATATAAGCATATAAAGTCCTTTTTTTCCCTCTGATTTAGGAGTACTTCCCTTGATGTAGAACCTATCTATACATTCAGGGCTCATAAGTAAGTATCTGGTTCTTCTTTGTTTTAAATCAACCCTGCTATATATCAGCTTAAGAATATTTTATTTCTTTAACTTACATATTTTTTGGTGTTCTGTATTTTTGCAGTTAATAGTGTTTTTGTAAATGTAAAAGAAACTGGCAAGTCATGTAATACTAAAATACAAGTTTATCACTACCAAATCGGGAATGTGGCCAAAATTAGATTTACATGATATTTAAGTGGTATATGTTATCTTAAAATAAAGTTGAGGAGGTTAGGTTTAAATGTTAGAAATCTTGACCATTTTTCCCTTAAAGTTAACTTAGATAAGAATATATGATCACTTTTTTTAATTGTAATCACATGTGGCATTTGATGCTTCCACTTTAGCTTTTGGAATGTATTATTAACTTACTCAGTACAGAGATTGGTAGACTTTTTATATAAAAAGAGAAAATTCTTTTAGGCTTTATAGGACACATTTATAGCAGTTGTGTATTTTTTGTTTTATAATCTTTCAAATATATAAAAGATCATTCTTTATTATTTTAACAAATCCTACTGGCAGATTGTTTTTTGAGAGTAGAAATTCCTTTTTATCTTCAGAGGTCCAGTGCTTTGTGTGGTAATGAGCAGTAATGGGGAGCAGTGTTACAGTGGCGGCACTGATGGATTGATCCAGGGCTGGAACACCACCAACCCCAACATTGACCCCTATGACTCTTATGGTATGTAATTCCACAAAGGTCTGAAAGAGTAAAATGTATTCTTTTTATACATTCTTCATAATACATGTACAGATAAAATGAGGTAATATCATAAGTTGATGAAAGAGAACCATGTCTTCATTTTGTTAAAAGGGACACTTATATTTAGAAAAGAGTGTAAAAAAAGTAAGATTCCCCAAAGCCTTACTGATTGGAAATGCTGACTTGACTGACAGTTTTCTTCATTTTAGGCATCTGTACAAGTACTTGGTGCTAATCTGTAATACCACAGTTCATCACTTTTCTTGATGACGAACTTTGAAGGAAAATTAGTCTTGACATAATTGTCTATGGATTATTAGGAGAATTAGAGGCTAATGACTTTCAATTGTTCATGGCATCTAAAAGTCTTAAAAACTAAGAATGCCCTTTAATCTTGGGAACAGTACCATGACATCCACATTATAATCAATTGCTAGTTAGTACAGTAAATTCCCTTTCAAAAAAGTGTTTAGGAATTGACCATTTTGGTTGCCCTTTAAATTCTAGAATTGTATCATATTTTTCATAAAAGTATATTTTCATTACTATTCTAATTTTACCACCAAAACTAAATAAAGAAGTTCTACAAACAAGAATTTGCCAAGCATTGTTTAACAAGCATTTGACATATTTTATGAAATTCTCTTATAAATGTATCTATTCCATGTCTTTTCTTATTTCCTTTCTCTCTCTCACCTCAGAAGACCAGTTGTTCTTAATGTGTCCAAAGTGAAAATCTCCCCTATTTACGCTTGACCTCATTCTCTTGTTTCCTTTTTGACTGCACTCTGATAGTTTCCTAGCTCTTCCCCTTACCCCTCCTTATTCCTCTCCCTTTCTGTCTCTCTCTGTTTCTTTCTTTGCTCTTTCTCTCTGTTCCCTGTGGTAAATTCAGGTGGCTCCCATTCTGACACAGAGACACCTTTTCTGAACACTTGTTTTGAGAGTTTATTCTCTTTCCTTCATTTGTGACTCTGTGGTGGTATTGTCTAGAAAACAATTACCAGTTAGTGATTACATGTCCTTTCTCTGTGCATTATCCCTTTACATTCTGACTGCTGGCTGTGCAGGCTTCTTATTTGGTATGATTTGGTAGACCACCTATCCCAGGGTCTCATAATAATGAGACATGGGTGTTGGTACACTATAATTGTTAGTTTGTATGGAAATTTTTTTAGCATTTCCAGACCTAAACAATAATCTACCAAATCACACCAAATAAAAACATTCTTCATTTGGGTAGTGGAGAGCTGGGTAGAAGGAAACCTGTACCACTTTAATATAGTAGGATTAGCTGAAACCACTTACCTAATTGCCTGATCCATCTAAAGGGTATATTTTACAATTCTTATTTTAGTAGATACATTTTGTGTATTTCAAACTATGACCCTTCCTTTTTTTTTTTTTAATTTGTACACTTGACATTTTTGATACTTGTAATAATTTCTATTTCCTATGCTTCATTAACTATTTTTCTGGCCTCAAATATTAACATTTTTCAAGGTCTAGATCTAACTCTTTACATTGTATATATATTCTTTGGGAAATTCAATTCACTTCTATGGATTTATGTAATGTTTTTGTTTTGTTTTGTCTTTTAATGATTTATTTATTTATGCATACAAGAACTGGGGTATAGACCAGAGGTTCAGGGTGTGAATAAGAGGATTCACCAGAGACAGAATGGGGAGCAGAACAGGCAGACTAAAATACACTGCTGAGGGGAGTAGCAGGCGGGTCAGGCAAGGTCTGCCGAGCCATGTGGGTCACCTCCCTGGCTGGGGATTGAACTCATGCTGCAGTGGCTGTGGATAGCTTCATAGAACTTGTCAAAATAGCCTTCTCATTGTCTCTAAATCCCTGCAGGTTCTGTGTTTCTTTCTCTATTTATTCTGCCTGTTGGAAGCAATGCCAGAATTACCCAAACTAGAAACCTAACGTTACTATTCTTGATTCACCCTCTATTTCTTTAATTTAGCCTTCCATTTTGTCCCTTTTACCACATACCCAGTTAGGTTATCATTGTCACTCTCCAAGTGTTCTGAATTGGTTCCTTTGCCTTCGTCTTGATTCTGTCCAATTTGTCTTCTACACAACAGATCAGGCTAAATACTTAACCCTATTAGTCCCAGGAAAATTTTCAGTGGTTTCCTTTACTTTTAGGAGAATTTCCAAGTGCCTTAATATGTCAAAGAAATCTTACCGTAAACTAGCCACTTTGTGCCTCAAATACCATACTTGTAATTACTTATTGCTTACATATTTGCTCACATACCATACTTTTTTTCCTTCTGTGATTCTGTAGGTGCTACTTCCTTACCCAGGAATGCCCTCCCTCTGTTCTTTGACTGCTAGCATCTGTATATTCTAGATGTCACTCTCTAAAAGGTTTTTTTTCTCATCCTAGTTACCCTTCAAAACTGGTGTCTGTCACCATTGAGCACACGGTCCTTTAAAAGGACAAGGATAGTATTGTGTTAATCATCTAGCATAGTGCCTGACAGTGTATCTTTAAGTGTTTTATACTATGTCCAAGTGAGGATATGGGAGACATAACAGTGTTGCCATTCTAACATCTGTGAACCATCTAAAATGTACTACTTTATGCATAGTCATATAACTTTAATAAATTAAAGTTCCCAGTATGGCTTTAATTTTTAAATGTTTTTTGTGTAGGAGAACTGGGGTATTCACCTGAAGTTGCAGGGGGTGAGAGGATTCACCAGAAATAGAGGGGGCACAGAGCAGGCTCATTTACTGAAATACACTGCTGAAGGGAGCACGGGTGAGCAGGGGAGAGGTCTGCTACGCCGTATGTGTGTTAGCTTGCCGGCCAGAATTGAATTCAGGCAACAGCAGTGATAGAGCTGAGACTTAACCCCTAGGCCAGCAAGGAGGGTCCCCCTCGTATGACTTTTATCATCAGACAGTGCTAAATTCTCCTTTTACCTTCCTCCCTCTTTCTCATGTGCATCATCCACATGTCAGTTATTGATATATGAATCTTTGAGTATTCCTGTAGATCTCAATTCAAGACCATGATCATGTCAGAATTCTTTTGCTCCAAAGAAAACTGCTATTTGTAATACAGGGTGATAAGTGATCTAAGGAGTATACCCAGTGTGCTAGAGTAATTCAGAGGGGTAAAGGAACTCTATTCATTTCCTCAAATAATGTGAGTTGTGCTTTCTCTGAAGGTAGATTAAAGTCAAAGGTCTTGTATTAACATAATTTAAAAATACTTAGACAAATGGAAAGGAAAAAGGGGAGGAGAAAAAATTACACAATTTTTGAGAGAATATGTGTTTTTGACATTTTTAAATACATTTTAAAATTTTAATTGTATATTTCCAAGTCTGTTTCTAATTATAACAAAATTTTAACAGAATAATAAAAATCAGAAATCTCGTAACAAATGTTTATGTATTTTACTTTCTCTGGAATCTGTGTACCTGTATAATTTGCATCTTTGTGTTTGTGTAGACCCATCTGTGCTAAGAGGCCCTCTGTTAGGCCACACCGATGCAGTCTGGGGCTTGGCTTACAGCGCAGCTCATCAGCGGCTGTTGTCCTGTTCAGCAGATGGCACTCTCCGTTTATGGAATACCACTGAGGTTGCTCCTGCCCTAAGTGTATTCAATGATAATCAAGGTATGAACTTTTAAAAATTATTTTACTAAATCATTCACAGAATGTCTTGTTTTAAAAACAAGCAAATAAATGATTCTACAAACTGAACTGTTTAAATATAACTTAGTGTTTTGTTTTTTTTTAAAGATTTATTTATTTATTAATACAGAATTGGGGTACAGGCCAGAGATGTGGAGGGTGAGAGGATTCACCAGGAACAGAGTGGGGAGCAGAACAGGCAGATTGACGAAGTACACTGCTGAGGGGAGCAGCGGGCATGCCACGCCATGTGGTCACCTCCGGGGCAGGCGGGGATCGAACTCATGTGGAAGTGGCTTTAGCTTATTAGTGCTGTGCTTTAACCCACTGTGCCACCAGGGAGGGCCCATAACTTATTAGTGTTTTTAAAGTAAAAGCGTATTTATTTGAATTTCCAACTATGTATAAGTTTTGAATTATGTGTACTTTTAAAAAGTATATTTGATTACAGCACACTTTAAGTTTAAAAAATTGAGATATTTGTAAACAGCAAAAGATATAGATAGAAAGAATACATTTTAAGAGGTTGGGTAAATGCATAACTCACATACAAATCAAGATATAGATAACATTTCCTTCACCTCTCCAAAGTTTCTTTTCCCTTCCACATCATCCTTCCCCATACTCCAAATCACAGGTAGCACTGTTAAGATTTCTGTCCTCATGCATTAGTTTTGTCTATTTAAGACTTCATTTAAATGAAATAATGCACCGCGTACTCTTTCCCATTTTGCTTTTACTCTTTAAAGTTAGCTACAAATTTTTTTTAGCTATGAATTTTTTAAAAAGCAAACTGCGGCCCTCCCTGATGGCGCAGCAGGTTAAAGCACTGCACTGAGAAGCTAAAGCCACTTCCGCATGAGTTCGATGCCCGCTTGCCCCGGAGGAGACCACATGGCGTGGCAGACCTCTCCTGACCCGCCTGCTGCTCCCCTCAGCAGTGTACTTCGTCGATCTGCCTGTTCTGTTCCCCACTCTGTCTCTTGTGAAGCCTCTCACCGCCCCTGAGCCTCTGGCCTGTACCCCAGTTCTGTATGTACAAATAAATAAATCTTAAAAAAAAAAAAAGCAAACTGCTTATCCAAAATTAATCATGAAACTACTCAAAATACAAAGTAAGAGTGTTTGGAAGCATCTCGCTGGCCAATAGAATGTTTTAATTCTCTCACTGCAGGGAATTTTAAAAACTCCATTTTTAGGAAGGGTGAACTATAACTTTAGCATATAATACCAAAAGATTTTGTCACATCGACTGGATTTATTTAGTCAGATGTTTCTAGCTGTCTCAGTTGGGATGCAGAAACTTAGAGAACTGGTTGTACTGGAACCTTCTTTGCACACAACTTTAGATCTGCAGTGCACTTGGAATTGTCTTGTTTTCCTGCTGTGCAGAAATGCTCTGCACCACTTGCTTCTCTCCCCAGTTTATCATGTGCTCCTGCTCTTCTTGATACATTATATTCTGCACAGAGGTATAGTAGTCAGGTGATTCTTTTACCTCTTTATAAAATCTGTGCAGCCATTTCTAGTAAGTAACTTCCAAGGTTTAGCATTGTTATTCCTCTAAACATCAAAAACATAATGGTGCTTTTGAACCAGTGCCTTCTTTGATTTTTCCAGCTTAGTGCTATTTTGGATTTACTGAGGGAAGCCTATTGCACTTCTGATTGGGCAATTTTTTGTTCATTGATTTATCAACAAATTGCCCAACAGAGGCACTATATTTTTTTAAAAAAAGATTTGTCTTTATTTATGCATATAAGAACTGGGCTGTAGGCCAGAGGTGTATGGGTAAGAGGATCCACCAGAGACAGAATGAGGAGCAGAACAGGCTGACCTGCTGAATATACTGCTGAGGGGAGCAGCAGACAAACAGGAGAGGTCTCCTCTTGTCATGTGTGTGTTAGTTCCCTAGCTATCAAACTTGTAACAACAGTGGCTGGCAATAGCTTGTAAAGACTTTAATCCCTGCACCATCAGGGAGGCCCAGAGACACTATATTTATTAACTACATAGACAAATAACCCTGTTGTTGATATGACAGGGGAGTTATTTGAAGTAATCCCATTTATTTCATAGGCTAGAATCTAACACACAGGATTTTGTTACACCAGTTTTAGCATAAAGGAACTGAAAGAATTCCCCAGGAGCCATTCCAAAATGAACCTTTTTTCCTTATCTAGGAAGAGGTGTAAAGATACAAAACTTGGCTACCCAAAATGAGAGACCACTGTTGCTTCCAGTTCAGGCCCCTGAGCTGAGGGCGGCTTTGTGTTCTTAAGAGAGGGGGCTGCTGTGTTGGTGGCAGCAAGTAATGCTCAAGGCATCATGCCTGTTAGGGGCTAGGTGACAGTCTTAGTGTCTAGTGGCTACCACAGGAGAAACCTGTCATTGGCAAGAATCAGATGGTCTCTCACCTGGCTTAACTAGGGAGGTCAAGAGCAGAACTTTCAGTCCAAATAAAAGCTTACATTCCATTGGGCCCTCCCTGGTGGTGGAACAGGTTAAAGCACAGCACTATGAAGCTATCACAACCACTGCAACACAAGATTGATCCCCAGGGAGCTGACCCACATGGTGCGGCAGACCTCTCCTGACACCCACTGCCGCTCCCCATAGCCGTGTACTTTGTCAGTCGGCCTGTTCTGCTCCACTCTCTACCTCTGGTGAATCCTCTCACCCCCTTGCACCTCTGGCACCCCAGTTCTATATGCAAAAATAAATAAAGCTTTTTTTTTTTAATAAAGCTTGCATTCTATTAATATATTAGCTGAATACAGGTAGAAAATATGCTTAACATGTAAGGACTCTAACAAAGATTTGGGCTGAAAATAACAGTTCCTTTACATTGAATGATTATGAGCTAATTTGTACTTAGTACTGAATTTTATTTACTTAAGAAAATTGTTCCACTATTTGTTTTGCTATATCTTCAGTATATTGTCATTGTCATCCTCTAATTGCCATTCTCCTTCAATATAATCTGACTCTTTTAGAATTGGGAATCCCTGCTTCTGTGGATCTGGTGAGCAGTGACCCAAGCCATATGGTAGCATCATTCAGCAAAGGCTATACAAGCATCTTTAACATGGAAACCCAGCAACGTATTCTCACTTTAGAATCCAATGTAGATATGAGTATGTACACCATTTTTAAATAGACTGTCTTTGGGTTGTTTTAAAAAATTAATTAGAGCTACTATCATCAATTATGAAAGATGATTGTTATTATAAAGTATTCTGCCTCCTAAATCATAGATCAAGATTACTTATAATGACAGTGGTTTACATTTGACTTTCAAATTTAATTTGTATTGTTCTTTAATTTTTTTTTTAGCAGCCAATTCTTCATGCCAAATAAATAGAGTGATCAGTCACCCCACTCTTCCCATCAGCATCACTGCTCATGAAGACAGACATATCAAATTCTATGATAACAATACAGGTGGGACTTTATTAAAAATTGATTATTGTAAAAAAAAATATTCAGTCAAGAAAATGTCAAATGCCAAAATAAAATCTGTTTAAAAATTTACCAGAATAAATGGAAAATCTGTTTAAAAATTTACCAGAATAAATGGAAAACCTAAATGCAAAAAATAAAGCCAGATGACTTCTAAAAGGAAAAAAAATTGATTATTGTTAAAGTAAAAAAAAAAAATCCTACTAATTTAGTGTTTTATCAGTGGCTTCATAGTCAGGAAATAGATACTGACTCACACTACTCTCCCAGCTCAGTTTTTGTCCATTCCTTCCAAATTGATAATATATGTAGAATTATTGTGGTTTATTTAGACTCTATATTTGGGCCCTACAAGCTAAGGTTATCACTGTGGATACAGTGAAAAATTCATTCAAGTAACATTAAAAATAAATATATTGGAGGAGTGAATATATTGGAGAAAATGAGAACATGTGGGATATAAAGGTATATTGTCATCATAGCTTGTTTAAAATTGTTCATATATGAAGTAGCCATGGTGTTGCAGATGGAAACCCCTGCATCGTTTGGTTTGTTCCTCCATAGGCTGCTCTTTTTGTGTTATAGCATTCTTTGATCCTGATTGCTTTGAACTGGAGTGTGGGGCCGTTCTCAATTTTTACTAATTAATATTTCAGTAGTCTAAAGAAAATTCATGAAGAGCTATGTTGGGAAAGAAACACTCTTACTAGTTCTATTTACTTTTGTTTCTGCTATGGTTAGGCCCTAGAATCAAGGTTACCTTTTGGTGACTTTGCTTAGCTGTTAATAATGAATAATTTTCTTTAATCCTTTTTCTATGTATTATTCTACCAAAATTATGATCAGATTTCTCTCTGCTACTCTGGCTTTGTCTTAATCTCATCTCTTTTTATAACCCAAATTTTAGTGATGTTTGAGTTCTAGTTCATAAACATGGCTTGAGGAAATATTTGTGTGCAAATTACTAACTTTCATATTGTGCTTTGAAAGACAAAAAATATAATCTGAAATTTGAGTTTTTGTTTTTACTACTACCATGGCTAGAGTGAGGAGGGAGACATTTGTTTCAGTTGATGAAAAAGCTATCGATAACGATACAGAAAATGCAGAGAGGACTAACTAGAAAAACCAGTATGATGTAGTAGCTGATATATTTTCAGGATGTGAAAAGTCAATAATAAAGAGTAATAATCTCTTTTTTCCAAAGGCAAACTGATCCACTCAATGGTAGCCCACCTAGAAGCTGTTACAAGTTTAGCAGTTGATCCTAATGGCCTCTACTTGATGTCTGGCAGTAAGTACATCAACTATGGCTTATTTCTTTATCCTTATCATTTTCGTGCTAATGTAGTGTTTTCCTTTGCCTTGTATAGGTCATGACTGTTCAATACGTTTATGGAACCTAGAAAGTAAGACATGTATCCAAGAGTTCACAGCGCACCGGAAGAAGTTTGAAGAATCGATTCATGATGTAGCTTTCCATCCATCCAAATGTTATATAGCCAGTGCTGGAGCTGATGCACTGGCTAAAGTCTTTGTATGACACAATGCATCATCTCTACTTTCTAGCTCTTTATAAATAGTCAACTGCACAAAAGAGATTCAGAAGACCAGGGCAAGAATCAACTCGTCCTGCTCTTTTGTTCTGCTGGAGGAGCACAGAGAACATTTGTTAAAGTATAGTTTTGCAATTCGCATACTGTTTTCTAAAACTAAGGTTTGTTCAGGTTGCTGCAAGCTCAGCCGAATCTGTGAGCCTGAAACTTGTTTCAAATTTTCCCCCAAGGAGATGCTTTTATTTCTGAAGTTGTTCTAATTCGCTAGGCAGGCCGAGCGAACATAGGTTTAGCTTGTTGTCCCTATTGAGAAAATAGGACATACTATAAGGATATTTAAAAAGCTTGGTGGCTGGGAATGAAGTTTAAGAAGAGTGGAAATTTAGACCTAGCCCCTCCCCCACCCCAGGAAATCTTGTTAAACACATTAGATATTAAAAAAAAATAATCTTTATCATATCTGCTGTACTAAACCCTGTATGCATAAAGACCAGTCTCAGTGTTAAAATGAGTTTTTAATTTAGCTGTCTTTTCAACTGTTCATATAAAGCACCTGGCAAAGAATTTTCACTATTAGGGAAAAAAGAAATGCAATAAGATGTTAAATATATTGTTCTGAAATGTGAAACATAATTAGTTTGTAAGCAGATTTCTATATTGTATGAAAATAAATTTGGTTTTACTCTAAAGGTTAGCTGTGGAAAGCACTCACCATTATGAAGGATAGTTGATAGAGTCTGCTTTTACTATAGGATTTAACTTATTCAGGTTTAAGATTCCATTTATTTTAAGGGCAAGCCAGACATACAATAATTTATTAATTTTAAATTCACTTTACTCATCATACTTATAGTGTCAGAGTGTTTATTTCATATCAATGAAATATTACTTTTAGTGGTTGAAAAGACAGATGTTATTTGCCAAGTACTTATCTATCAACACCCACATAACCATGCTTCAGATGACCCTCAGCTCTCTATTCTTTGTATATCATATTAAAATTATCTGACACCTACCCAACATAGTTTATAATGATTATATTTTAATAGTCCAAAGAGTATGGTTAACCTCAGGCAGCTGCTTTTGCAAAAGAACTGAATAAAGTAGATGTTTTTTTAACCCAGGAGTCCTCTATTAATATCTCCCAGAAGTACCTCCCGGAAGTTGGGATGGAAGAGTTCAATATGTAATAGTGGCTAAAGAGTTCTCTTTCCCTCTCCCATTGTTTAATGAGGTGTTTAATTAGAATACACAATGCATTTTAATGGGCAGTGATTCAGTATTATTTCGGGGGTGGGGGGAGAGTTATATCTTAAAAGACCAGGGTGTACTGAGCTTGTGACACACATATCAGCTCTTGAGACTTTGATGACTGCAGTATATGGACTTCTGATACTTAGATCTCATCCCTGTAACTGTTTCACCCTCCTCACTCTTCTTTTCCCAAAATGCCAGAGAACAATCTAGAAGCTAGAATAAATTACTATATGTAATATACTCTCAAACTTTTAAAGGTCCATATCCATAAGTATTTTAATCTTTTATTATAATTCTACATTCCTGTCCCCACATAATCCATTGTAACAATAGCATCTATTCCTTGAAGAAGTATTCCGGTGGTGATGTGAGTAATAATTGACAATTTTTTCTTAACGTGTTTGCTTGTCTGCAAATAGAATTCTGCAAAATGCAGGCAAATTTTCTTTGAAGTTAAAACACCTGTGCTAAGTTTGCTTGATTGTGACACAGATATGCTTTACTATTTTCACACAGATACCTTGTCCTTTTGTCTATGCTTTGGTTAACATTGGGCTCAAGGCACTCCTTTGCATAATCAAATGGGTTGACCTGGATTTGAGCTACCATATGTATATGCCCAGATACAGATTTCCACATTGTATTTGGTGAATTCCTCATTTGGTTGGTCAGAATAAAGGAATGGTTTCATTAACCTGACATGTAAGAGGAATCTGGAAAATTTCAGTCAAGTGCTCTTACTTGGTATTTTAATTGGACTACTGTGAAGATGTTCTATCAGTAACTGCTTTAATACCTTCCATGGTCTTCAGTGCCTGCTTTATTTGCATCACTAAAATTCTCAAAATGAAAAAATTCTCTTCACTTGCATTTAATGTCTCATGGTTGGAAACTTCTTTAGTGAGTAGAAAATAACCATGAAATATGTAGACTATCATACAAATGATGGAACTGTTGAAAGTTCCTTAGAAAGCTGGTGCTGTGCCATTGGAGAATGCACACAGAAACGGGTTCTTCTCCACTAGCACTGTCTGATATCCCCTTAGAAATGAGCCAAAATTGTCTTCCAAGCAGATAGAATCATTCATCTGGTTTTTCCCTCAGCCTATCAAAAATTCAATATAAATTCATAAAGTGAACAAATTCAAGACTCAGTCATTGGAATGCTACCATAGTGCTTGAATGTAAATATACTAGATGAAGTATATTGGAACAGTATGAAAATTGGTAAGAGATGTGGGATCCTGCTTCATTTTCATATGCTATGGATCCATCTCTGGAGCTTGCAGCACCCTTCTCCAAACTCAGCTGTCAGATGGAGCTCATTTGCTATTCAAACCATAGGCAGGTATTTAACATCAGTGATATAATAACCATCAGTATTTTTCTATTGAACAAGTTTAGCAGTTTTTGCCATTAAACAGATAATTAGTTACACAAAGTATTTAGCTTTTATAATCATTTTAGTTATGACTAAAGGGGAGATTGAGCTGCATCACTGATAATGAACTTTGTGAGAAATTTTTGTTTATCTGACTTTCATTCCTTCAGTATTCTTGCTATAAATTTCTTTGGAGATAATGATGAAAATTTATTTGAAAATGTCTAAAATGTATGTATATTTTATAAATATATATTATATATATTTATAAAAATATATATAATATATAGACTATATATATAAAACCATAGGTGCATTTTACTGTTTTGTATTTTCATTTTTGAAGATAGTGTACACAGAAGGTAATGATGAGTATGAAGAGTGTTGTGCTGTTTGCTTTTGCAGTATAATATATAGTTCTAAATGTTTAAATTACTGTATATATACTATATTCAATATAGGCTAGCATGCTTGTTTTAAAGACTGTCATTCTAGTTTATTAAAATCTGAATGTAAGAAAACCTGACTATTCAAATGTGAATTGAAAAATACTTCATTTTCAGTACTGAACTACTTCCATTGACATTATGCTTTAACAAAACTGATAATCAAGAAGGCAATAGCTAGAGAATGAGAGGTGCCTTTAAAATATATATATATATATATATATATATATATATATATATATATATATAAATGCAGCCTTACAGTGAGAATGAGGATTGGGTTTGTGTGTGTGTGTGTGTGTGCAGTCTGTGATGGTCCTGACTTGTGACCATCAGTGTCTTGTTAATATTACCTGCTCAACTTCTAGGATTTCAGGGGACATTTTTTGTGCTGACTTTGTGCTCATCTGAGCACCATATGTATTTTCCAAGAATTTTGAATGTTGAATTCCTAGAAATCTCAAGAGGGAAAAACCCCTGTAACTATAGTCAACTTTAGGTAAAAGGGAAAATTATTGGTTCACCAGAATCATTATAGCTCTTAATGTTCGCTTAAGAAAATATAACTTTTAAAGGCTCACTTTTTTAGTACTTCATACATTCCCCACCTTATACAAGAACATGCCATGAAATTCTTATGTGATGAAAATTCAACTTGTAAAGTTATTTTTAGATACCTGAGCTAGTTAAAATTCCACCTAAGAGTAGTCTCAAATTATTTAAATGGCATTTTTCATAATCTACCTCTTTGTCATTGCTGCCATTTTAACTAAAGCAAGTCTTTGACATTTAAAATGATGGTTGGATAAAACTTTCCATGTTGGTGCTTTATAAGCCTTTGTCATTAAAGGTATACTGGACTAAGACGTCACTAATCAGGTTGAAAGACTTAGAATTAATTTTAATTTTGGTTCTCTTTGAAAGAAATGCTTAAAATTTACCATCATTGCTGATAATGAGTAGAGACTCTCTGGTTAGCATATGTTTGTGTGATATTTTCAACTAGGAGCCAACCTGTTACTAGATTTATCTGGAAATAGGGATCTCAGTATAACTTTCTTCAGCTTTCTTTATTCTTTGAAAGTTATATCAAAGCTAGTAACTACATAAATCATTAATTTTATTTACTCAGAAGTTGCCTCCATTAGTCGTATTGCTTGTTTAGTTATTTATATAATTACAGCACTTTTAAGTGTTTGACACTGGGATTCAGGTTATATAGAAGTAATAGCTGACAGAAATTATACATATATTTTTGTGACATGTAGCAATTCCTAAGGTTCATTTTAAGGAAGGTCCAGAAAACTAACATATCTGTGTTTAAAAACAAAGGACAAGACATTGATAACTGATTAGAATCATTTTTACTTTAGCCATTGAAAGCTTTTGGATGGCCATAGCCATCATTTAATTGGCTCACCCTGTCAGTGTTAAAGATGCCAGGTTGACAAAGTATGTAAAAGATTGCATCCATTTTTTTTTTCTTTCTTTTAAATCTTAAAAAAGAAAAAGGCCAAACATCTCTCTATCCTGCTTTTTCTAACGGTATTCCTGAAGTGGTACTTACGGGTCAGAATTTTGTGGATATTTGCTTGAATTTAACAAGGACCACACATTCTTATCATCCATCTGATGCAAATTGGAAAGTTCATCTTAATGTAGATTAATTCTAATGTCTGCCGGGGTTTTTAACTGGCTGTGAACCAGTGAGTGCCTTGTTAATGTAAAATGATTTCTCCCGTGATTTTTGCATTAGCTTCAGAGAATGGTATTTCAGTTGACTTGTACAGAGCTGCTAAATTTGGTATTATCAACAATCAGAAAGTCTTTTGTCTACCTTAAGCCTCACTCATACTTTTTTATTGTTTGGCTAATGTTTGCCCCTTGAGAGGAAAAAAAAACAACCTTTTCCACATTTTTCCAATCCAGATTAAAAGGTATTCCCTACCCCCTCCCAACTATATGATCTAATACTTATTTTTAGAAGGAACCACTTCTTGTTGTTTTATGTCTTCTCAATTTCAGTTTATTAGAGCTGATCTCAGGCAACTTCAGTACAGATTCTTAACTTCTCTCCACATAACCACCCCACACCCCACCTTGTGAGCCCTGGGCCAGGGTGTTTGATGTGCAGGTATTTTAAGTTTTAGTTACAATATCAATGTAAATTAATCCAAATGCGAATTTTTGTGGTGCAAGATGCTTTTTTTTGTAAATTGAGGGTGTGGATAAGCTACTTAAGATAACCTTTTCGGTGGCTCTAAGTGTATTACATGTTTTTAAATAAAGTGTATATAGATGATGTGCTATAGGTGTCTCATGAATTTAAAATATTTGTTAGATTTGGACTACAGTGGGTAAATTAGCTAAACACTTTAATAGTACTGGATTGATTTTATTTCCCTCCCCCTGTGGTGGGGGTGGAGGAGACATAGTAAAAGGGTGCAGAGAAATAAAAGGGGGTTAAACAGTAGATATGGGTCCTGAGAAATTAATTGATTTTAATTATTAACTGTGAGGAGCGTAGAGAAAGTCTCTCATTAGAAATTGGAACTTTTAAAAGGGAAAGCCAGTGAAATTAAAATACCCCCTAAGATCGTATCTGTGATCATTTCTGGGATACCCACAAGAAATTGTACACATATACATAAATTTGACATGCTCGTAGTTTTTTTTTTTGTTTGGCTACTTAATAGACAAGCGTAAGCCTTCTATACTCTGCCCCTTCAGAGCAATACAATTTTTCAAGGGCTTCCCTTCCCCAGAACTCACAATCTCTTTGTTAGAATCTGGAACCACAACTTTACATGCAAACTGAGTTACCTTTTACCATTAACCTTGCAACTAAGCACTGTTCTTTGATGCATTGAATTCTGCTGTGGTGATGATTGTCTTATTTTTTGGATGTACAAATTTTTTTTTTTTTACTAGTGCCAGAAATGTCCCTTTTAATGAAAACCAATAGACTGGAATTATTTTTTAGCATTTTAGCTTCGATGGCCAAAGGGACTAGTTTGGTAGAATCTAGATTAGCCCAGGTTCAGAGCGGTATTGTGACCTACACTGTGTTATTTAAGACCACCTTTAAAGTTTTCAGAAATGGAGTAGTGGCACTTAGGGTGTGCTGCAGGAACACCTGAGAGTCAGCATCCTTCACTTGTTATTTCTGTTACATCTGTGTTTTAAATTGATCAGGACATTTCATTTCTATGGCGAGGCACTGACATGTAACTTTGAAGATTAGAATCCATAATTTTCAGAACACAAGTTTCATTTAGTTTATTTTGTATATTTTCAAATCCCAAAATCTGCCAAATAGAAAATGACTCATTTTTAGTTCCATTTAGATATCCTACAAAACCTTATGCCCGTTCTTGTTGTTATCAGACTAAAAATGATAGTTTAAGTCAGATTTGAAGAAAGGTTTGATTATTTAGATGAACAGAATATGCAATATTAAGTTGCTGATAGAGCTTTAGTTAATAGAAAATTCTCTTGTCTTTGGTGATTTGTCTGTTCACCTTACCTGAAGACTGGTCCAGATGTCAACTCCACATTGACTTTTCCTGTGTGCCTCTTTAAAGAGGTAATTAATCAGTGATCTAAAGGAGAACCCACAGTAAAACATAGTTAAATAGCACTTGGAGTACAAGAGTTGTTACTGTTATTTTATGTACCAAGTTCTTCATGTCCTAGTAAGATCCAGTATGTATTCCAGGCCCTTAATCTTGAACCTCAAACCAAAGATATTTTTGAATTACCTCATAGAATAGCACCATCAAGTTAAGGGTAATGATAGGGAAACCCATCATACACAAGTGAGAATTCCCAAGCTGAAAATTTTTCTGTAATTAAAAAAAAAACCTGCATGGAAAGCAAAATTTTATGTTAAACCTGAGTTAAAATATAAGCACCCTGTAGTCATGTAAAATGTGCCGAAATGTTGAAGTGTACAGTATTTCAACCATTCCTGGAAGTGGGACCAAGGCAGTAATTTTTCATAAATAAGCAAGTAACTTTAGAAGAAACGAAATTTCATCGAAAACATTTCTTTGGATGCTGGGTAACTTGGGTGAGGTCACAATGATACCAACAAGGAAAAGCGCCTATCCCTGTGATCTGGGCCCGCCACTCACTGTTGGACTTTCCTTGTTAGAAGGATGACCTCTGAGATCCCTTTGACCTCTAAAACTGATTCTGATACAGAGCAGAGCAGGAAGGGGCACTAAAACTGAACAATGCCCAAATAGTTTCCCAGTCACTATTCCAGTTCAGTTCTGCCTTGTTTGTCACCGGTCTCTTATCTACATACATTAGGAAAGACAACCAAAGGATCCTAGAACCTCTCTGGTAAGTGTTAGACCAACTTAGCTTGTGTTTTATTTTAGGAAGCTAAGTTAACAGAAGCCAGCTTTATTGTGTCACTTGCACACTCTGAATATCAGGCATGTAAGAAATGGCCTAATGTGCTCAAGTGATCATCCCATGGAAAGGTGGGAGAAATCTCTAGTGTGATTCTGTCTTGAATGGTTTTAACTATGCTTTAAAAAAAATATATTTACATCTTGTTCTATAGACCATCGAGCACACACATTTCAAAATACCCTATTGGTAGAATGAATAATTTCATTTTGTTTACTTAAAAGATGTAACTCAGTGATCTCATTTTTTGACAGTAATTTATAAATAACACCATTGTTCACTCAGTACTCAACTGCAATGTGGGAATGGTTTTATATGTAGTCAATGTCTCATTATCTTGCTGTTTAGAACACAACTTATTTTGTACATAGCCTGTAGGTAAACATGGAGCCTTCACAT